TCAACTTACACAGCTGATCCCATTACAGGGGGTGGGGGGCAAGCAGAAGTACTTCTTAAATGATGCTGTTAAAATCACATGTACAATTTATGGTGCAGGTACATAAGAAGGGGATGCTCTTCTCTTGCTTTTGGTGTGCAAGCAAAACCATACAAATAGTCGCTATTTGGCTACAAAAAGTATTGAATGAAGTACTGCTTTGACTGCAGACGTTTTGAAACTACTCGATGCTAGGCTGTTTCAAGTCAAGGAGTAGTGATACAAATATTGCAAAAAATGCTTGGAAGGGCTTTTCCTGGATGATGAGCATTGTGGAGCTTTTCTTATATCCACAGCATCGGTCGAGAGGGGCTTCAGTGCCATAAAGTGAACAAAGACTGACTGGAGAGGGCAACGTGAGTGTTCACACACTGACAAGGTTGCTCTTCATTAGCCTGGAGGGTCAAGACAGCACTTCAGTGCTATGCCAGTAGTGAAGAGGTGGCTCAAGGAGGCAGAAAGGAGGAGCCTGCAGTGAAAGATTCACAGCTCTCAACAAATGTATTTATATGAATGAAATCAAAAAATATATATTCCAATCTTTGAAATGTTATAATAAGAAAATGATTCTGTTCTTTGTTGTTTGGATGAATTATTAGAATGTATAAATCAATAATGTAACAGTTAAGGAAACACACAAGTAAAAATATACAAGGGGCCAGTAAAACTCTGAGCTATTTGCACAGATATGGGGGAAATGTTACGCTGGATATTGCCATATTAATTATATTATCACAGGTTTTAATTTTGCTTCTTAAACAGCGGCACACACATGACATGATATTCATCCCTACTTTTAATGAAATGTCAAAAGCTTCACAGCACTTGACATCACACCCCTAGTCTAATTTATAACATATAACAAACACTTGCTTTGGGTTTTCATTTCACATGTTATCAGGGGAGAGCGCGAACGCAGTCCCCCACTACCAGAAATTATGCAGTCGAGATTCCCACATTTGGGGAATTCGCAGAGGTCAGCTCAACCGGAGTGCAATGGCTAAGCCTCACCCTGGGTGAACCACCTTCTTGATCATGGTATCTCCCCTGCCAGGTAAGTATGAGTTGTACAGATCAGAGGCGAGGAGGTCTTTCACAGACATACCATGCAGACTGAGGGTGCTGACCATCTATAAATTACCTAAACCAGAGGCTATGGGTTGTGTGTGAATCTGCAGTACTTTAATACAGAAGAAACATTTCTGTATTAAGGCTGAAAACGATTATTTACATTTTACTTTACAAATAATGGCTACATTTCCCAGCATGCAATGCTGTATTTCCACATCTAAAGCTAACCTAAAATCACCAGTTGTATCTATTTACCGCAAACAAATGAGTCCAGCTCAACAGCAAGTTCAAGTGAGTCAAAGCTGAATCATATTGTAATCAAAAGTAGTTTGATTCACATTTGTAATTCAGAGAAAAGAATAAAAACACATACACCAGACTTTCCTCCCCCCTCACATTTCAACCACTTCCTCTTTCTTTGTTCACTGATGGTGAGCAACTGACATTCCAGCTACTGCCACCTACTGCTCTGGAGTGTGAACAACACTGGCCATGCTGTTTTGTAGAACACAATACAGTTCAACACCACAATAAACTGCAGCCTTCAAAATGATCATGCAGTTGAAGTAATACTTCTCTAAAACTGTTAAAGAGAGGATTTATTACAGGACTGTTATATTAGGCTGTATTAGTTTTAACTAAGTGTGCGTAACAAACTGGCAAATGACCAAGCTGTTGCTATGTATATGGTTAACAGCAACAACATACATCCTGTAACAGGATCAGCTGTGTAAATTGATAGATGATACATATTTATTAGTCCTTTTGGAAATTCATAGTGTGTCATACAGTAAACATTAGACCAACAACCAGACAACTGCACACAAACATCACCCGATGTTATACTAAGGTGCAGCTCCCCGACACCCAATTAGCTCATGACTGTGACGTTACCACCCAAACTCATGGCTCAACCAGGCAGAGAACAACACACACACGCGTATACATTTTCAGCTGAGGATTGCAGCTCACTTTTGATAGCCTTCAACTCAACAATCATATATAATAATAAGTATTGCGTCATCTGATCGGCACTTCTGATTGGCCTTTATAGAGACCACCGATCAGAAAACCCTAACTGAAATACCAAGTTGACACATGGAGTGGATGGAACAAGCCCCTATCCTCTTCTTTGCATCTTGTCAATTTTATATTTATATATTTTATGTTTATTATTATGCACAAAGTCACTAAAGCAAATTCTTTGTATGTGTAAACCTAATTGGCAATAAAGCTAATTCTGATATCCCTCAATAAGTAGTTAAAATGAACGTCACTTTATTCAGCCATAATATTAAAATTATGCTTACACCCAATGTATTAGAGGTGATATATATATATATTTTTTTTTTTTTTCTTTTTTACATAAAAGCTCTCCTTCTAAATAATGAGTCCAATTGGCTTATATTACTTGAATACACTTATGAATGCAAAACTTAATTACGATGGGGTATGTTGTAATATATTACTACATTAACTTGGATTAACAACCTGAATTGCACTGCCTTGAACAACCATTGCACCAAATGTGACCTGAACAGTGAACTATTAAGCTGATTTTATTTGTGAACATAGAAAGGGGGTGCACCGGTCCTGGAGATACTGCAATACCAGGTCGATGCGTGGAGTGGACGGAGCAAGCCCCTATTCCATCTCCCTGCTCCAAAAATCAATTTAATATATGGTCCCCGGGTAGGGGACGTATCAGATATTAAACTGATAAGAACAGATACTACACTTGATCTTAGCCAAAAGGCCGAGAAGCGATACTGAGAAAAGGTCAGGGATAAGGAGGTGATTCCTCGCACCGGGACTCTCACTGAGGGGTTGGAACATAAACATTTTTTAAAAACATACATTTGAGTTTAGTGCAATGTACTAGACAACATAGTACATTTGACATAATGTATCACCGGTGCTATTTTGTTGCGATATTTATATTTAACTAGTGTTTGTAAACGCGCCTTCTTGTGTGTTCCTGAACACGTGGTACGCTTTAGTCCAATCTATAGCGGACGACTAGAAACAACAAATTAAATCAAATTTATTTTTACAGACATGTCAGATATATATTATTCTTGTATATTATTTCAATTTAACTTAATGACGCGTAACGAGTTTGTGTACGTTGAGGGAAAGATTGTTTTACGATTGGTAAATACTCACTTCACAACAAACAGAGCTCCTCTACCAGTCTCTAGTGGAGAGGAGAGTTAACTGCACACTTAACGGCCTTTCGTCTCACACAAGGTGAGAAAAACTCCATAATGTAATCAATAAATAGTTATAATTTACCTGTACTCATCCAGAACAGAAGATATAACTATTCAAGGCAAATAATAACGGACTGTTTAACATTTAACCTTGCAATGTCTAATAAAAAAACCACAGGCGTTATCAGGTAAACAGCTTTGCAAAGCAAACGTTCAGTAATGACTGCAATAACCTCAACATAAACATCAACAGTGTCAATTAGTCAAAACTGTGTCCCTACACCGCCACCACTCACCCGCAGTAGTTAAGGTTAACGTACCAACTTAAAATAGATGCAGTAAGGTCACGTTCTTGGTCAAATATCTTATCAGCAAAACCGATAACTAGGTATCAAAGTACGGGCCTGTTATTTGAATGTGCTAAATAACTTCGTGACAAACTAAGTTATGACAAACATGCACTTGAGTCCATCACAAACTCAGTTGTGAAATACAGCTAAGTAACGTAACGTTACTTATCATCATGTGGACACGAAGGTGAAGTTAATTAACATGAAGTTAACCTTAACCCGCCGTTAGCGCGGCTAGAAAAGGACTAAACAATATATAGAGAGACCGTCCACTGCCACCCTAACGAGAAGTATTGACACAACTGAGTTTTCATTCTACAAAAAAATATATAAGCAAGAAACAAAATAAATTAATGTGGACATGCTAGCTACCAATTAGCTTAAACTTGGCTAAGGTCACGTTAGCTTAACGTTCATAAAAACACGGTTGCAGCGGTGAAAAACCAAATTAAACCCGTCAACAAGTTGGCTTCTCAATTCTCCTTATGCTAATCGTTAATGTTATTATTGTATCTACAAAAAACACGTTAAGTTGGTCAATAAAAATGAACTTACTAAACATCGTCTTCGACTCTGCTGCTCCGGTAATTACTCCTGTGTCGCACTTCCAAAACGATGTAAGCTAGTTTACGTACGAACGTGCGCAGAATTACGTAACGTCAACTGTTTACGCAGTCGTTTAGCTAGCTACACAGACGATTGTTAAATTAAATCCACGAACAAAACATGAAAGACAGTTTCGCCTGTGAAAACATTTAGGTAGGCTGCAGTTTATCCTTCTATGGCCAAAATCTATTGTTGGCGCATTAATTCTGAACTTTTAAAGAAAATCCAAGCTCATTTAATTATCCTAAAATAAACTAAAAACAGCAAAAGAAATAGAATAGCTACCGTTAGCATTTTCCAATAGATATTTTTGAATTCTTAAAGTCAACTTAAATCTTTAGTTTTTCTGATTCAAGTTCAATATTTGGCATAGTAAGTTTTTTTTGTTATACAAAATTCTTAATCGTCAAGTATTGCAGTGTAATTTATATAAATAAAGCAAAGAGTATAAATACAAGGGTTTATTTCTGATTCTGTTTGGTAGGCTAAAGTATCACATTTTTGAACTTGGGGATTGTTCATCCTTTCTAACGGCTTCGTTCAATGACAAACTCATTTACAATCAACCAAAGTCACCAAATTAATATTTCCTTCAATGAAAAGGCTCATTATTCCCCATTCCAATATGGCCATAGCAGCATATAGTATGCCTTCTAAATTGAAATGTCAGTTCATTGTTACTGTGTTTACTGTGGGTTGTGTGTCTTGGTGCATTCCTGTGAATTCAAACTTCCTGTTTGACATGTTTTGTCACAGAATGAATACTGGATGATTCAACCTATCCTGGTTTCATTTTGTGATAGTGTGTCTGCTATACAGGTCAGTGTTTGTTGGACACGGGAGGGGTAAGTAAACTGAGAAGGATATATGTCTGTTTGCGCTACAGTTTTTCTTCCCCTAAGTGTGTTTTTGTGTGTGTGTGTGAGATCACAGAACGCTGAGTACATGTTGGCTTATTAATCTCTGGCTCAACCTGTCTGATAGGTGTCGGCTGGCTGGCACTAACTTGCGCAGCTATGAAGAGAAATCCAGCACAGTCCTGAGAGAGGAGGGAAACTCCAGCATTTCTTCACTTCACAGAACAAAAATAAGGAGGAAAAAGGACAGTGGAAAAGGAAAACCCTGGGAACGAGGAAAGGCTGTTTTGGAGGGAGAAAGACAGAGAAAAGAATGCTTCAGAATGTGAAATAACCTGGAGGACATTATTCTACTACAGTTCGACTAATGGGTCTGGGATTCTAATGTGGCATTTCAGGCTCTGGGATGTACAAGATGTTGCTGTGTTTCTCAGCATCGCACTTTATATGTGTCACCTAGGTAAGAATTCCAACGTATTTGACTAGTGGGTTTGAGAGCATGCATATATGGCAATCCTATATTAGTTCAGGACAAAGTCCACACGATGACGATCCAACCCTTTCAATAGGAACTTAAATAGAGAACCTGGGAAGAATGAAAACTAAAGATAGAACTTTTCTCAGGTTGCATACCATTGCTAAGTAGATCACAACACTAGTATGTACAAATGGCTGTGTACATGTAAACATCAGAATGTCCTGTTCTGCACCCAAGGTCTCAGTACCTTAGGGATCTGATTCTTTACAAACGCAAGTCAAGTTGCACAGAATAATTACACCATGTCCAGTGTCTTTGGAAATAAAATTGGCTAAACTAACACAGCTCCTAAGAGCATGTGTTAAATAGATTGGTTCACACAGATCTATGGTAAAATTTATCTATTTATCTATAGGATATCAGACTTTCCCCACGCTGTGTTGTTTCTTAGTCAGCATTGGCATTCTCAGGTGTAATTTTTTACCTTTGACTCATTAAGCAAACACACCACCAGCAGAACCAGATCCCACAATGAAACTCCTGAGAAACTATTTGATGAGGGGTGGCCAAAACAGTCACAAGGCCAGTATTACTGTTTCTATTCAAATTAGTACTTCTCAGCTTGTTTAACAAGTTTCTTTTCTACAGCACAGGATAGCACATTATATTCTTTACATAGAAGTGAATGCATTAGTCACAGTGTTTAGTCAGAGACATAACTAACTGTCATGAAGGGAAAAACCTGTGAGGTCAAATATTTTATTTTTATGGAGCTGGACTGTGTTATACATTGCAGCGTTTATGCTGTAATTACTGTCCTATCTGGATAAAGGTTGATCATTAACTAAGTGTGAAAGGTGTTTATCACGTAGTGTACAATATTTTGTGCAATCTGATGTCAAAGCTAAATCTATCTTTACCTTTACATATATATAAGTTTTTGCACCATATCTTATATTATATGTGTTATTATTATTATACAGATGTATGTATTTGTTTTCTTCTCCAGTATACATTTCATAGTGAATCTATAATCTATATCTCTTAATTCTTTTCACTTTGGAAGCTGGAGCCATCTCCATCCATTCTCCCCAGAAGAGCCTCACCAGGTCAGTGCAGGAGGATGTGTTTTTCTCGGTGGATATTACCTGCGATGGGATCCCCACCATACAATGGACCTTTATGTCAGGAGCGGTGAGCCGCACCATAGGGACATGGCAGCCGGGGTTGTACACTAACATAACGGTGGATTACAGTAGCAGAGTGCAGCACTACAACAATGGCTCTATGGGCCTGTCAGACCTGCGCCTGGCAGATGCTGGATACTACCAGGTCACTGTCACAGAAACAGCAGGAAGCAGCAAGGATGCTGGCTTTGTCCTGAAAGTGAACGGTGAGTGCGTCTGGCATTCTGTGTGTCATTTCTACTATGTGCCTTTCAGATCTGAAAGCAGGGATTTTGAGTTTATCAAAGTTATTCATCAGTAAACAACACAAATATTTTTCTGTCTATCTTTGAAAAACATAAACTGATATGGGATTGTTGCGTTAAAAAAATTAAAGTGTAAGATACACTGGATGATTTTTATTATTATTTCTTATTATTTACTGACACGTGGTAATTGCCTTCTTGCTATTGTGTTACCTCATCTCTGCATACAAGCTGCATTCCTAACATATTTATTTTGTGTTTGTATCGCTGGTAAATAATAGCCTGTGCCTAAGGCTTTTTTGCACTAAGTAAATAAGTCTCCTGTGTCCTTGTCCTCCAGAGGTGCTGTATGAGGACCTTCAGTACCTGTCTGTCTCTGCCTTGGCACTGGCCTGTTTGACTGGCCTTCTCATGCTGGTAATGTGGCTACTGGACAAGGTCTACAGGAAGATCGTGGCATGGAAACGCAGGAAAGAGATGCCAGGTAAAGCAACATGAAAAATAAGTTTATTAAGTACATGCACAGGTTGTATGAAACACCATCACGATGACCTTTACATTAAGGATTAAACTCTCACAAGATAAAAATTAACTTCACTCACACAAGCTACTGTAATAACTCAGTGGGAGTTATTACAGTAGCTTGGTGAACAGGGTCAATAAAAAGATTGTCTACATAAGATTAGCTATTCAGGATCATGGACAAAATACATTTTAAACAAGGATATTAAATGAAGGATGTTAATCATCTCTTTATACGAACAAGAGGTTTTTTTGACGTGAACCTCATTGTTTACTCAGCTGATTCCTTACTGCTGCATCATTGTGTGAATTGTATGAATACTGTTTGGTGGGTGTGAACGTGGGTTGAAGTTATGTATTGCTTCTATGAATGGGTGTGTTAAGAGTACAAAGGTCTGCAAAGTTTTATTATAGCTTTGTTACAGCAGTATGTTGTGTGAACGTTTCTGTATTGACTAAGTTCAATTCAACCTTTATGCAGAAAATGATGCAACAGAGCTGCAGCCTCTTTGATGGACGTCTAACTGTGCATCATACCAGGCATGAAAACACACCAGAGACTGTTCATCAAACTCTGCAACAAGGACTAGTTTTTTTAAATGTAGGTATTGTGTATATAAAATAAGTGAGTAATTGTTTTAGTTCAACGAGTTATATGTTTACAATTTGTATTGAATACGCATGCATTTACAGCTCACTGCTGATGACACTGGATTGAATGTAAATATTTTACATGCCATAGAAAAATACATACTATATTTATTGTCTAAGCAAAGTCATTGTCCTTTTCTTTTACTCTGCTTGCCTTCTACACAGCAATCATCAGAACTTGAATCAAGCTTTGGAAAAACTTTTAGAATTATGCAGCAGGTAGTCCCGTCTCAGACTTTAGATGAAGTGATAATAGATGGAGAAACAAATTACTACTTTTCAGGTCTTGAGATTAACGTTTTCAAAAAGCAACAACTCAAAAAAACAAAGGACTGTTGATTTTAAAAAAGTGATTCCATAGGATTGTGATATTTTAAACCCGTTGGATGGTAGAACTAAAACCTCACTCATCATGGATCTTGCTTAAACCTGATGAATCACACTAAAAGAAAAACGCTGTTGCTGTGATGAGGATAACACAAGGCTACAAAAACGCATTCCTAATAAGAAAACATTGAAGTGTTTACCAGACGTCCTTAGAAAACATCAAATTCATAGCTTTATTCTTATGATGACATGACAAATCAGCACAAATACATAATGACAGGCTGTTTTTTTTTATTTTGTATCAAACTGTTTTGAGGTATACATACACTCCAAACCTATCAAAGACAGAGCAGTCAACAGACACTACTGGAGGTTGAAAGGAGTTTATGGCCGTGTTCAGAAAGTCTATGAGTTGGGAAAAAGTGTACACGAAGTAAAAGTCACATTTTGTACAAATGATGACGCCGAGGCTGTATCTAAGGACAGGGAGTCAGTGCAGCCATGAGGAGCTCCATCTTGTAGACAAAGTTTCGTCCCTCCATCTTGCTCCAGTGAACCTCTTTGCATGGCCCTCTGAGGTGACACCACTTGGCGTCCTGGATGACATCGCTCTTTGGCAGATCTTTGATCTGGCTGCGGGAGAACTGGACCAAAACTTTGCACCCGCTTTCTGGGCCGTTACGCACTGAATAGACAAACAGATACAGACACTGTATTAGTGACTAAAATATGTTAATAATATTCTTGGTAATTTCAGGTTATGAGGATATTCAGTATTACTTTATTTTTAACTGCCTTAAAATACTCTGTAATGTTAGTTAACATAAATATAATGTTGACATGATACATTCCAGGAGGTTGCGGTGATGTGTTTTGATTTGCTTTCTTACTGATTCCTCAGCTTGTATTAACCTGTCTTCTTTCATCTTGAGCGATTTCCTACTTCTCTAAAATTTTCCACAACCACAAGAGACTAGGGTGTGGCCTAGTTAGATTCAGCTCTACACATGTAATTAGTGAGAGCAATTCAAGAGCTGATACCCTTATTCAGGAAAAAAAAGTGTAGTCCATTAACACAAAATGCAACAGGTCTGATCTTTAATGCATCACATTCTGGTCAATTAGGGTTAATTTTGGTAGCAAAAATGTTATTATTTCTCCCACCATGACTGTTGTCAGTGCACATTGATGAGTCTAGAGGGAAGTCCTTGTTTGATTCTGAGATACTGACCCAAAAACCCAATGAAACTGATAGGTCAACATTGTTTAGCTTTCGAGCTAGTTAGCTGCACTGGATCTGGCAATTCATTTAGTGGACTAAGAAAACTGCACCATAATGGCAATAATAAAACTTCACAAGTAGCTGATTTTTAACATGTTTCAAAACTGATATGTTGTGTAATTTTCTTAAAAATCTACACAAGAACTTCCTGCCTGGATCTTTACAATATGTATGATCATGCTTTTTTCATGAATATACATTGGCACCACTGAAAGACTGAAAAACAAACAGAGAAGGTCTTAGTGAGCATTTTCTCCTCATAAACAACCTCACCCGTCTCACCTGAGATGGCATACTCTCCATTGGGAGAGGCAACAGTGACAGCAGAGGCATTTCCAATGCTCTCCACTGGGCCCAGGCCTACATGGTTACTGAAGCTTAAGACATGCCAGCCCATCACTTTGGCCAGCTGCTGAACAGCATGCACCTGATGCTGCGACATCTGTAACAACAAGATGGAAAAAAGGAGGCAGTGATACATGTGACTTTAAAAAGTGACACAAAACGTAAAAAAAAAACCATTTGTATCACACTGTTTTGAGCTCAATACGCAACAGAACTACAATCCTACATACAGCTTTCAGCAAACTGTGTGGTTAATAGTTAACTGTGAAACCTGTGAGAGGAGGAAGTCCTGCAACTCCTGTTCCTGGTGCGACAGTGTGACGACACGTCCATCTCTGTGCACCACTCTGATTTGCTCAACACCGATGTTCAGCTGCAGCTGAATGGACCTAAACACACAAAACAGATGGGAGAGGGATCATACGCCTCAGTCAAGTGGAATGAGACCAAACATGTGCCTGTAATAAAATACAGAATGAGGGAATAAAAACAATGCCTCTTATTAAAACAGACTGGTCCCTGTACGTTACAGTCATGCAAGGCTCGGTCACTGCCATTTCTAATTTTAGAATGGGATTAAAGCGAAATTGAAAGCTAAATTGAAAATAAACCTGTTAATCATGCTAAACAGGCCTCCGAATAAATTTCATAGCTTTCAATTTACATAATTTGAAAAGTTATTAAACAGTCTGCAGATACCCACAGCTGCTCATAAATATATTAGCAGGTTCTCCTCTGTATCTTGCATGTCTCTCTCTGCTCTGGTTCTTCCTTTATCCTTCCCTCTTCTCCTCCACTTACTTGCAGATTTGCTCGTAGCCCTGAGAGGTGATGAGCACCTTAACACTGGACTCATACACATCGTTGATATTGGACCAGTGAGCCTGGATCTGGGGGTCTTCTATTCGGCTGGCCAGGCTGTCGATGGTCCGCGCCGTCCTGGTGATCACAAACGTAAACATCAATATAATATAACATAAATATCAAATAAGGATTACAATTTTAGCTTCAAAATGAATTTTCTTGAGATCAAAGAGAACAAAGTAAGCCACCTTTTGGCCAAATCTGGCATTGCAAATAGTGAAGAGCACGTAAGAGAGTGTCATATCATGTGGCCTAAATATTACTAATTTTCAAGACGTCTTAACTATTTGCAAAACATGACATAATAAACCTAGCACTTCTGCTTGGATTACGTACAGTACATTTACATAGTATTTCCTGTGGTAATACATAGTTGAATAGATGAATGAGTATTGGCTGCGACAAAATGTCACTGCCAATTGTTTTTGTGATCAGATCAGTCCTCACATAAAATCATAGATGGCACAACCAAAGTTACCTGCTACGTAGGAAGATGTGTTTGGCCTGTTTGATGATCTTCTCCAGAAGCCCCTCATTCTGCTGCAAGTTGGAGATTTCAGCTTTGTCGTAGGCCTGCGGCCCTGCTAGTCGCTGGCGTTTATGGCCAAAAGGGGCAGTAGCAGGATGTGGCATCACCACAGAGCTCAGCTGTTGCTTGTGGAACTGTAACAGAGACAAGGTTGTTAAATTAAATGATAACTGATTAAATTAAACCATTATGAATAAAGGAAAGACTTGTACTGATGGTGGTTTTCTAGATGTTTGGGGAGCTATTTATCTTTGTTCAAATGTGTTGCAGGGCGTCTCCCGTCTGCTTTGGTGTAAGCACATTTCCCATGGCTGACAAAAAAGACTGAACTGAACTAAAGTAAAACTGTAATTTTGCTGTTTAAATATTTTCAGATCGTAGTTTGGCATCTATTTATATTTCCAGTCTTATCCCTGTAATGGGAATTGTATCCTGTGAACAAAAGTCAAACTGGTTGTAAAAAGGTTTCCAGCTGAGCCAAGTAAATTTACTATCCAGCATTTCTAGACAGTACGGACCATCCGATACAGTATTTTTTAAAAACAAATCCAATAATCATATTTTGGCTAATAATCTTCTTTACACAAGCCATATCATAAATAAAAATTGTGATGGTTCCTGTAAACTCGTTTCTTTTTAATAATTCTGAACTAGGAATGAAGTGGGCAGAGCATTTTCTGGTTGATAGACTTGAATGAGCTAAACTACAGAATGGTGCACTGTTTCAAAGCATTTCTATACTTCAGTTTCTTATCATTTATCAGCTGACATAAGTGCCGATACAGATATATCTGCAATAAGCTTATCTCTCTACTAGACAGTAGCTTCAGATGAGATGCAGAGTGTCTTCACACAGTGTTTCACCTCTCTCATCATTTGATGCAGATTGTGTTCCAGTACGTAAAGATGGTCGTCTGGTTTGGGTTTCTCTGGGGACACCCGATGGTTCTTTTTATCTCCCGTTGAGTGGCACAGTGAGATGGAGAGCTGCAGACCTATAAAGTAGGATTACAGGAACAAACAAGGCGCAAGTCTGTTTGTCAAAGCAGACTCCAGAGCCACAGAGATGATAAAAAAGGCAGGAATGTTTGATTTACAATGTTTGATCACTTAGTGTTCCCTTTTCCCCTCAAAGTTATTCAAATGCTAATATTAGGAATAATATTTGTCCCAGGGTAGAAACTGAACTTTAGATAAACTACTACTGTAAACAACCTCTTTCTATAAATAGTTTTATCTTTTTCCTTAGTGTTTTGGAATAATCTTTCATACAATCAGTTATCACATGTCACTTTTCCACTTTTAGAGTATGATACTAATAAAGAACTATTAGAACATAGTATGGGCAGTGGTCTTACTTAACTTACAGTATAGGGACATAAAACACATAGATTGTGTACTTTAAAGTCAAATATGCAACAACCATAGATCCTCTCATGATTGTGTCTAACAAGACTGTATTTGTGCTGAAGTTTTCTCACGGCGATGTTGTCATGAGCGTTCTAACCTGGGAACGGCTGTGAGATGATCTGATTCTTCACAACAATGTGAGGGATCTGGGATTTAATCTGAACAGCTTCCCTGGACAGCTGGGCAAAGATCTCCTTACAGAGCAAAACGTTCTGAGCCGCCTCTAGCTTCACATGCCACGCCTGGGTTCCTGGGTGGAAAGAAAGGTAAAAAAAGAGATGGCGTCAGGAAGATCAGAGAGAGAACAGGCGAGGAGAATGGGAAAAGAGAAAAAAATATATATAAAAATTTGGGTTGTGGAAGAAAAGAAAGTAAGGGAATTTCAGTGATGACATACATTTACTAATTATACAGACAGAGATTCAGACAGTTACATGTCTTTGTGTATTGAACCATACCAGCTTTGGTTTTTGGCGGTCTCCGGAACAGGTTGACGGTTCCCAGATCACCGATGTCTGGAGCTTGTTTCTGGATGGACACCTGAAGACAAAAACAGCACTCGACTAATTGAACTACATGTTTATGAAATTTTACATAGTGTATGGGTGATGTGGGTGATATGGAAACTGTAAAAAAAAAATAATAATAATAATAAAAAAAAATAATTATAGCTGCACCAAATAGATTCTATGTAACTAACTCAAATATTTACGCTGCTATAAGATGATACTTCACTCAAGATCTTTTTTTTTTTTTTTTTCCCTCTGTCATGCAATTCACACAAAAATGCAGGGGGGGGTGGGGGGGTGGCAACTAAATGAACTCCAATTTCTAATTAGAGTGTGATGGACAATTCACCTATATAAAATCAAAATCACCACAGACGTATTTTAATAGAACATGTCATTGTGGAGAGACATTTTGATCCATGTTTCAGTGTTTCCCACAGGATTTTAAGAGAGTATGGTGATTAATTCTTAATATTCTTCTCTTTAATGTTTTTCTAGCAACCTAAACTAAATAATAGAAAATAAGTAGAGAAAAGTAATTTCTCTAACATTTTATTGTTGTTTTTCTTACTTTTAATGGACACATGTAATATGTTTTATACTTTCTCTGAATATAATCCAATTAATCTTATTTCTATACTGTATAAACACCTTACTTTTACAACCGGACGTTGTCACATGTATCCTTGCGCTAAATTCATCAAGTCCGACCCAATTTGATAAATTATGTTGCATGTGGTTCTCATGTCGCGTAGCATGAAGACTTCACAGCCTCTCTTCAGGTAGGACTCTCATACTGCAACACTTTTCTTTATAGAGAGAAAATTCCAGGATAAAGTCGCTAACCTGCCTGTCAGTGCGAGCTTACAGCAGCGCCCACGTTAGAGGTCTGAAATGTTATTATGAGACGTGTAAAAATATATTTGGTTCATTTTGAAACTATGGCGGAGCAAATTAGACTGGTCTAATTAGCCGCCATGGTCTCGTTAATTAACAGGAAACACTGATGTTTTGTTTCCCTCTCACCTTGATATAAGCAGATCCCTCCAAATCACTGGGTATCTGGACATCAAGGGGGCAGTAGTCCTCTGGGATCTTTTTGTCCAGATCAATGTCTGTGTTCTTGATCACCTCAAATGTGCCATGGTGAGGAAAAAGGGAACCTGCAGGGATACATAATGAAAACATGTTAGCTTGGGGTTATCCTGTCTGGTAGAAGAGGTGTCCTCATGTTAGATGGCTACATTTATATAGCGCTTTTCTCTAAAGTTTTTTGCTGCTCATGCACACACACAATGGCAGCAAGCTATCACGCAGGGTACTGGCCAACCATTGGGAGGAATTTGGGTTTCAGTGTCTTTCCCAAGAACAGGAGAAGGTGGGAATCAAACCACCAACCCTGTGATGATGATTCGACGTGAACGACCTGCTTTACCTCCCCAGACACAGCTGCCCATTACTTTGTTTTGCAAGAACCCTTTTCCAGATTTGACTAAACATCCATTAGATGCCTTATCACCTGCGCTCCTGTAGCTGAGGTCTCCTAGGATCTTGTCACCCACTTTGCGTAGTTTCCACTGTGAGCGGAGACGCAGCAGCTCAGAGTTGAAGTCCCTCTGCCTCCTGTTCTCCATGTTCTCGGTTACTGACTTATTGAGTTTCTCTGCTCCCTTCAAGAGGAGATGTGCTGCTGTGGCCAATGATTTCTTTTTACTGATCAGCTGGAACACCTGGGGGGTCTGCACAAGGTGAAGGTGAATGGAGAGTGGATGGATGTGTGTTAGAGAGAAGGTGCACAGATCTCTTTGAGAAACATGAATATTTTATCAGTGATATTATTAAGCAGTTTACCTTGCCAGCTGTTGGATCCTGAGACACAGGGTCTAAGGCCATGTACTTCTTCTCTTTCACCACGCTGAGCACATCATAGAGTACACACATCTCCGTCAGGGCACTGCGCAGGTTGTTACGCACCGAGTCCCAGGGCCAAAGAGATGGCTGAAATTTTACTGTGCCTGTGTAAGGAAACCATCAATCAGATCTTATTCTAACAGAGAAAACCAAATCAATTTGACTTTGTTATATTATATAAGAGTATATTTTATTTTGAATCCATCCATGTCACCCATATGCGCTAATTCGGTGCAGGGTCATGTCTACTGGAGCATTCTGTATTAATAACAGGAAGGTGTTACAGGTAGGGACGTGAGTAATGACTGTTAAGGAAAGTCTCTTTACCTTAATATGTTTGTATTATGTTTTTTTTAAATATCGGGTTCCTACTTTATCTTGATGTGAAAGTCTTAACTTTTTATTTTTATTAATTAGATTACCAACTGCCTGGATAAGGGGCCATTTAACTTAAAACATCAGGGCATAAACAGTTTATTGGGGAAAAGTTGTGGATTTTTTATTAACTTTCATTAGTAAAAGACAGGACAAAAGACAAGCTTGTAGTATAAAAAAATAATAGTCCAGCAATGCATTACATTTGAGGACCTTGACAAAGAGAGCTGTAATAACAGATTAAAATTTAACTTAGCTGTGCAGCAACCTGAGATCTCTAGTGTTATCAGTGATGGATCAATCATAGCTGGTGCCACTCAGATTAACAGAATCTAGCTCTGACTCTAAATTCTCCTTGCTTTCTGTTGAGAGGTACCTTCTTCTTCCTCCGGCTCCTGCTTGCCCCACTCACGGCCCCTGGGTTCACCTTCGCCTCCATCCTCCTCTGAGTCAGATCCCTGGCTGAAGTCAATCCTTTGTGCCAACTTTGCCAAGTTCTGGGACATGGACAGAGGGGGGACATATGTCTCTGTCCCATCCAGGGCCACTTCCTGCACCTGCTTCTCACAGGAAGACTCAATGCTGACCCTCACCGCTGGACCACCAGACATGATGACAAAGCTGATATGAGGAAGACAAGCAGAGAGATCACAGTAGAGGACAAAGCAATTCAACAAAATGAATCTCGACAACCTGTGCTTAATAATTTGAATAATTTGACATGTTTTTAAACCAATTTGAATAAAAGGAGACCAAATACAAATTCACAAACGTTTGAACTGAAAATGAAATGTATGGGGTTGATTGTTCTTATGTAGTTTGTATGATGCTTTGGCAATATTGTTATACATTCATGCCAATAAAGCTAATTTGAATCGAATTGAATCAACAGTAACATGGTTTCACCACCTCCAAATCTATACTATTATAATTTAAGCCATTTAGGACTGTTGGGGACCTGTTGGTTTATCTGTTAAATGAGCTGGCTTGTCTTTAAATCTTGAGATTTTTAACAGTAAAGTAACAGCACAAACAATAATTACTTATAATGGCTTCACTGTAGCAGCATTGGGTTGTATTTTTTGCTACGTTTAGCTTGCAAGGCTAGCTAGCGTTAGCCCCTTGCTAATCTCACAGGATAAATAAATGGCCGTGGAGCGCGAAAGCTATGTCCAAATATCAGCTTTTAATTGTGTAAATCTTACCTCTGATATTCACTAGAATCACAAGTACAAACGGTTATTCACTGGAGTTGTGGTATATTTTCCTGTAGCGCCCTGAATACTTAACTCTTCGCTCCCTTTAACGTTACACAGATACAAGCGGGCTCTACTGCCCCCTAGCGCGGTGCTAACGGAATCGGAGGCTGCTTGTAGTTTTAGGAGCTTCACGTCACTTTCTTTCAAATCGTTTTAATTTGCAGATGAAGTCGTCGTTTTTTGGTTTTATGTACTTTAGGTTAAAAATTATTTAAGACGCACATAACATGAGCAGGAACTTGTTAAGTCTCTGGTCGGAAACATTAGTAAGGGGACTGGCGGCGGGCAGTTTAAACCACCGGATGTGACGTTCAGGACAAAAACGTTCACTCGTTTGTTTCAGGTTGGCATGGGTTTCAGGTGATAAACAAAACATCTGGGCTGGATTTCACCTCATTTGGTCTTTCTGTAATGAATTCGCATTAGCTTTACTTTTTACTTTCTAAAATGTAATTTTAAGTCGTGATGGCTGTGAATGCCTGCGACACAGTGAAGCTAGCCAACGTTAGTTAGCACGGCTAACGGTGGAGCTAACGTTTCCTGCTGTTTTCTTTAGTTTTGGGGAAATGTCCAAAAGCACATTTGAAGAAAATGAAGAGAAAAGTGGCCAGATTAAGACTGAGCCCTAACGAAGAGGCTCGGATAATACGAGAGGAACATGAGAGGAGGAGAAAACTGCGAATACAGCAGGTAACTAACGTTAATGTCTGGTGATAATAACAACAACAGGCTTTCTGCTCCACTTTTTTAATGATAAACCGACAGACGTACAGAATTAACACAATGGATGTTTCATTAAAAAAAATATTATCAGTTAGACCAGGCTTAATGCTACTGTTGCACTGTGATCATGAGTATGTTTTGACATGGGTTGTTGTACCTTTAGCATACCTCAAATCTTTTTAATCTAAAGTGTATACACAGTATTCAAGTCACCATATGTGCTTTTGATGCGCTGCAATTGACATAAAGCCAAAAATCAGGCTGCCGCTTTATGGGAAGTAGCTGTTTTACACTTAATCTCTTTAAATGGCACAAATTAAAGAAACAGATACCCAGAAATCTGTTAAAAATAAAAAAAATATTTTTGGCAGTGGTAAAGTGTAATATTTTACTCTCCATATCATGTATTCTGTGGCTGTGAACATCACAGTTTTTTTTATTTATTTATTTTTACTATGAACTTATGGGATCTGTGCTTGATGTCTCTGGTCTCTGTTTCAAAGTCATGATGAACAGTTCTGAAACCAGCCTAGAGTGAATCTTATCAGCTCTGATTTGCTTTTATAAAGGAGCTTGGTTCTGGTTCAGTTTGTTGTTGTAATTTATGACACACTTTAAACAGCACATCTTGCTTTTTTTGAGCCACCTTTATGAAAAATACCCCTCTGGATAGTTTTCAAAATCAGATATTGTTTTAAGACTGAGTATGCATGTATATATTTTGTATTGAAAACCAGGTGCGGGAGCAGCAGAGGTACATCGCGCTGCAGATCCGCCGAGAGGTTGAGCATAGACGGCAGCGTGAGCTGGAGCAGCTGGAGGAACAGCTGAGGGAGGACTGGGAGCGACAGCAGAGGGAGAAACTCAACACACTGCAGATGTTATACCAGGAGAGCCTCCAGCTTCTCGGTCAGGGACACAGGAGTGCAAAAGAAAACGTAAGATAACATCTAAATCTCACTGAAACAGATAATCAAAGGCCAAACCAAGGAAAACGTCTTAAACCAAAATGTCAAGAAAACCATCACTTTATAATAGTTTGACTTGAAGATGTATACATTGTACAAATCATTAGATCTGTGTGTTGTCATTTTGATTTTATGCAAAAGGAACCCGACTTGGCAGCCATAGCTCAGAGAGAGGGGGAAAATCACACCAAAGCAGAGGAGCGTTATCGAGAAGCCCTGAAGGAGCTCAAATCACAGAAACTTAAAGACCATGAGAGGCACAGCCGGTGAGCAGCATCACAAACATTTGCATTTATAATCAATTATATTCAAATTACCAAATTAACAGAACATTGAGTCAATTCCTTTGCTTTTCTGTAGATCCATCAATGCCAGGAAGAAGGCATTACAGGTAGAAAAGGAAAGATCAGCAAAAGTAGCCAGCCTCCCACCTCCTCCTCCAAACCCCATTCAGGTGATTTTTCCAATCTGTAATAATAATTACTCACTGTTTTCCTGTTCTAAGTTGGCCTAATAGACCACCTGGATTTGGTAGGTGACATTTTAGTTTATGATAAGAATCAGTCAAATTAACGATTGTTAACAAAACAAGATGACACATCTAAAGATGTTTGTCTGTAGCCTGATAATCAGACTGAATTGCTCTTTGGTATCTCTTCATTATTTATTAATCTATTTGAATTGCTATAAAAATTGGAAATGTGGCTGTTGATTCAGAAGTCTGGACCAGCTTAGTCTATTTGTGGATTCATATGCCCATTCACAAATCATGTTTGTTTTGGCTTAGGCTCAGCCTTATTGTATCTACAAATTAGTGTTGCTACCATGTTAGAAAATATGTGAGAGAAAGGAAAAACAAGAGGAAGAAGCGGAAAAAAGCCCAAGAGAGACAGGATGTGCATAAAAGCTAAACATTACATAATCTGTATTTCATTGTGCTTACTTAAATAAAATAATACAAATTAAACTCCCAGCCACATTTAGATAGTCTGCTGCTGAACCCTGAAATGTTATTGTGTGTTTGTGATTTATCGCAAATATCAAACGTGTTTTATCTGAAGTGATTCTCTCCTAAGGCTGTGGTGTTAGAACACAAGTCGTACAGATCTGGGAAAAGTCAAGGTTACATCGTCTTTTCTTGCTCAAGCAGAACATCGATTTCAAGAAGCCACATGTGGTAAAGAAATCTGATGTGAGCGCTTTCGCTGCTACGCATTACCACATGCCTGAGAGCACAGTGGACCGAGAAGGAGACACAGAGCAGGTGATTCCAATTATTTTATGCACTTAAGCTCATGGTTTGTTAGTCCCCCTCCTTTCTGAGTTGTCTAATCTGTATATGTGTCTGCAGCCAAATGCCCATGAAGGAGCTGAGCTGGAGGCGAGGAGACTGCAGGACTTACAGAGGGAGGAAAAGAGGAGGCGAGAGGAGCAACTTGAGAAGGCTCGTCTCAGAGGGAAGCAGGCTCTGAGAAGGGAACATCTTGTGCAGGTACAACTTACTTGGTACCTCATGAGCCAATTGTTCACGTGTATTTGACAGATAATATGATGCTACTTGGTATCACTATTGCAAACACTTTTGACCAACAGCAGGACAACAGTATTTACAAAAGTAAGAAGACTACCCTTTTTAAGTAATAAAACGATTGTAGTGATGATTTGTATTGCTGGGCGTAAATGGATGTTTTGTCTGTATACTTGACACATTTGTCACATAAAAACAGAACCACGGTGATCCAAGATCCTAGTGCAGTTCTTCATAGGAAAATAATAAAATACATTTTCACTAAACATGTTTCATAGACTTGTATCAGAATGCCAAGGTGTCATGTAACTTGTGAAAAGAGAAAAGGAATGATCAGGATTAATAATATATCAAATGCAGCTTTTTGTGCCTGATGTGTTTTTGATGCTCTCCTTTAGGACCGTGAGCGCTTGCTTGTTGAACTGGAGCACCTGCAGCAGACAGACCTGCTGAGGAGGAGACAGCAGGTGTCACAGATGCCTGCTCAGATCTTCCAGCCTCTCTATAAGAGACAGGAGACGAGGGAGGACTTCCAGAGGGAGATGGAGTTTGCCTTTGAGGACATGTATACTGGAGAGAGGAGTAAGGACAGTTCAGCAGTGTAGTAATTTGCTATGAATGTATTTTGTAACAAGGATGTGTCACCGGTTTTCAGTAATTATGGCTTAGCTTAAAACCATCCAAATATAGAGCCAGAAGGTGGCAGTCTGTCAATGCGTTGAGCTTTTTTTGTATTTTTGTATTGTAAAATAGTGTCTAGTTTTAATGGAGCCTCATTAAACACCTACTGTGTCTGATCCCAGGGGTCAAAGGTGACCTGGTGGTCCAGCTCGTGCCTGAGCCTCTGCCAGCTCTGTCGACAAGCAGCCAGGACCAAGAGCTGGACGTCACACTGGATGAAACTGCCACATCGGGAACAGAAAACACACAACATGACACTGAGCAGGAAACATCTGCTCAAGGTGGAGAGAAGCACCAGATACACAGAAAAACTGACCTCATTAGTTTTAAGGGTTGTTACATTTGTTAAAAATGTTTACTGTGATATTATTTACATTTTATGTAAATTCTTCAGTCAAGTACAAGTATCTTATCGTTACAGCCCTGCAAACTATCTGTCTTGCGTGATAATCTGAACATAATTCATTCAAACTGCATTCAGCATTTTTATTTTTCTAACTTGCAGTGGAGCCCTCCAAACCTGCTCCTAGACGAGCGTTAAAGAAACTCCTGGATCGTATCAGGAGCCAGAGGAACCAGTTGACTGACCACGGAAGTCATGGGCCTGCAGCCGATTCACCGACCGCCATCACCGATCAGGTCCCAGAGCGGGACACAACCATCGACACAGGCTCTCTGACCAGCGAGGAGAAAGACAAATCGTCTGTCCACTCACCACCAGGTAAAACTGCAATGTATCAACTGTAATGAAATAAATCTAGGAGGCCATGCACAATCTGACAATTTCCCCCCTAGATACTCTCTTTTATCTGAGCTTTGGCATGTTCTAAATTTATATAAAATAATGATAATTATTGATATATAAAGATGTTATAAATATTTTTTAGATTTTTATCTATTTTAAAAACAAAACTGTATGGTCAAAGTGATGCAGTCCCACTGCTACTAAGCTGGGGGGGGGTTTTGGCTCTTTTCCAGTTTTGTTTTCCAGATATGCATCACAATTTAGTTTTTGTAAGATAATAATCATTTTGTATTTAATTCCACCAGCATCGGAGGCAACAGATCAGTCAACTGCAGCAGATATTCTACTTCCCGATGCACTTGCCAGCAGAAGTCATCAATTTGAAGAAGAACGAAAGAAAAGGGTACATCCTGAGTCCCATTTGTTTGCTACAGAGCAGGAATAATTTTAAACGTAAAGGTCAGGAGCAATGTCTGCTGCCATTCACAGGTAACCAGATTTAAATATGTGTACTAGAGCCCTACTGATGAATTGCCATTCCAATATTATCAGCCAATATGAGATAATTGCAGATAAATCGGTATCAGCTTATAAATGACAATAAAAAATGGAAACGTTGTATAGTTTGTCCACCAGAGGGCATTCTTGCAACTTCCCTATTGGCAACACAGTTTGCCACCAGTTCACATAGAAATTCACCACAAAACACAGCAATCAGCTGTGCTTTGGTTCAAAGAACTATTTATAACAATAAAGTTTATGTTTAAACTGCATTATATCATGTTATTTTGGTGAAGTCTCATAGCTTCATGAAATATATAATATAATAATAAAAGAAGAATATCACCCGATAGATTAGATTTCAAAATCCTGTCTTAAAAAAATCCTATATTGGTTGGGCTCTTGTGTCCTGTATATCCGGTGACAGTTGTTAGATCATATTGTAAGAACATATTGTGGAGACACTGGAAACATGCAGTATGCTGTAGGGATGAACAATTAATTAAAACTTTCTCAAACGCAATATGGCCTACTGCAATTTTCAAATTTCAGGACCTGCAAAAATTTTTAAAGGCTAGATGTGTGTCAAAATACAATTTTAAATTAAATATTGTCATGCTGTAGAGATGTCCTGCCTACTCATCACATTATACAAACATAAGAAAACATCTTTGTTTGGTACCGGTCCTTGCAAAAAATTAATGTTCCCACCAATATCATATCGCAATTTCAATATCAGCCATTGCAGTTTTTCTGTAATTCTTTCAAAATCGTTCAGCCCTATTGTGCAGTTATGCATAGGAACAAACATAACAATTAATTGTATTAATTTTTTGCAAATGCATTACATTAACTGACAAATAGTTAAACTATAAGAAGCAAAAGGTTGATACTTGAGTGCTGAGTTTTATGTCACACCAAGGTACCGGTAGTTAGCTAAACCTGTTCACAAAAAAGCCCTAATCCCAATTTTACAAAATCCCCTTAATCAGTATTCATTGTAGAGTTAAAGAGTTTTTTGTGATTGGTCAAAATGTATTGATCCAGGTGTTTGTCATTACTTAATTAGTCCAGCCTCTATCTAAAGCAGGAGTGTGTTGGGCTGGGAAGTCAAATTTTCAGAAGAGACTTCTGAGCTTGATTCCCTGTTCTGGGGGGCGACATTTAAAGTAAAGCTGAGCATAATGCAGGCTGAATGGAGATGAACACAGGAGCCACACTCAGGGCTGCAGTGAGAGGAAATCCTCTGAGGACTGCATTTCACAGGAGGAAGAGGTGCAGACTGAGAAGTACCTGCTTGCCTTGGTCCAGGGATTAGACAGATTGTATTATGTGGGCTCTTATTTTTCAAACTGCAAAGTCTCAACTTGCATTATCTTTAAAACAAATGATCCCTCAAAGGTTATTTTTTTTCCTCTACCTCACATTCAATATATACGGTCAATATTGACGCTTAGCTGAAAACTGGCTTTATGATCAACCTTATAGGTAAGGTGTGTTTGAAGTTTGGCAACAGACACTGTTTTCAAACCTATTTATGTCCAGGAAGAGGAGCTTGAGAGGGAGAAGCAGCAGCAGGTGGTGTTGCTCCAGGAACTAGAAGAGCAGAAGGCCAAATTAGAGCAGATGCTGATTGAGGCCCAGCAGGAGAGAGAACATCTGAAGGCTGCAGTGACCCAGGAAGTACCTATTAACCAAACGGAGGTAACTGTCCATGACCGGGAAGTCACCGCTGTTCCCCCTGGTCTAGCCACTGAGGTAGGCCCCTCTCATATTGTCTTAAATGGCAACTCACAATTATTTGATGTATTATTCTGAGTTAATAATCTGTGCCTGCTTGATAACAGATGTTTAAGGCTGCAATTTTATGCAGTCCAAATTATAGTATATGCCATTCTCAATAGTCCGGTTAAACTCTAATGTTTGCAGGTATCTTTTAAGATATCCTATTTAGTGTAATATTTAATTAGTGTCAACATATTACAGTTGCTTCAGTCTTGATTAATTCTTACCTCCTCCTCCTGCACTCTACAGCTGTTGCCTCCTGCAGGTAAAGATGAACATACCAGAAGGATTAAAGAATACCAACAGCGGCTGCTGGAACAAAACAGGTGTGTTTCTAAAGCCTGAAGACAAACTTGACTTGATTATCCAGTCACTTTCACCACTTTAACATGCAGTTATTCTGAGCAGATGACACAACAATTCAACCATCATATATAATGTTACTTTTAGGTTTTAGGATAGAGGGTGTCGAATGCTGGAAAGGATACTTTTACTTGAGGAACATTTGTGATATTTGGCTGTATGAATAAAATTGAACTGACCTTTTTATTTTATTTTAGAATTCACCAGAGGTCAGTAGAAGTTGCTCGCCAACGCCTGGAAGAATACCAGCGAGCTCTACAAATTCGTTACAACATCACCGCCACATCGTTACTGCCCACTGTCGTGCCTCCAGGCCTCATTCACCCGTCTCTGCAAAGTGCTCAGTCTGCGCATCTTCCAACTCCTCTGCAACTCCATACAAGTCGTGCAGTGCCGGCATTCACCCATGCCAAACCAAAAACCTCTGTGGAAGTTCCCACAAGAGAGTCTGACATGTTGTCCTCACTTCCCAGTCTTGCTGGCTCCAGTTTGATTGTTGGCTTCAATTTGCCGCCGGATGAAGTACAATCTATTTCGAACAGTTCCAGGGAGCAGAGACCAGCTGCCACCACCTGGTTGACTGACAAAATAATGGAGAGAGTAACAGAGCACCTTCCAGAGAGAGCGAGACTCACTTCGGTCAATACACAGCGACTGCCTTACAAACACTTTACAACACATCACTCAACCAGCATCCCTCTCCAGCCAACCTCCAATTCTATCCAAGCCGTTAGCCCGAGCATCAAACATGATGCACCTCTGGTTCCACAACATGCACCTGTTAAGCCTGGGACCTTGCTGCACGGCTCCCTGCAAACTGGATCCTTAAGCTCCAGAGAGGACGACATGGAAGTCCAGAGACGAGAGCTGCAGGAAGTCCAGAGACGAGTGCAGGAACAGAGGGAGGCACTGCACTTGAGGCAGCAGGCAGAGGAGAGGCAGAGACGAGAGCTGCAGGAAGTCCAGAGACGAGAGCTGCAGGAAGTCCAGAGACGAGAGCTGCAGGAAGTCCAGAGACGAGAGCTGCAGGAAGTCCAGAGACGAGAGCTGCAGGAAGTCCAGAGACGAGAGCTGCAGGAAGTCCAGAGACGAGTGCAGGAGCAGAGGGAGGCACTGCACTTGAGGCAGCAGGCAGAGGAGAGGCAGAGACGAGAGCTGCAGGAGCAGAGGGAGGCGCTGAGGCAGCAGGCAGAGGAGAGGCAAAGACAGGAGGTGGAGATGGAGCAGATGAGACAGCAAAAAGAGACGCTGCAGGCTCTGATTCATACTGATGCGCAAGTAAGTGAGGGGACTGCCTTGGTGTCTGTTACAGTAGACAAATCGTAGTTTGTTTGTAAATCTAAGATAAAACAGCAGAACAAAGTAATGGGTGCACAGATTTTATTTTCTGAATACTGAGCAATGATGTGAAATTACTAAACCTGAACTGTATTTAATCTAAATACACTATGAGGGTTTCTACACTTGAACTGAGCTCAGGGAGTCTGACTCTCCTTTAATGACTGTGTGTGTGCGCACGCTGTCTGTGTGGAGTGAGTATTTAACAGTGTAATTCTGTGTAGTGTGGGTGGGTGTGTGTGTGTGTGTGGGGGGGGGGTTGCCTGCCTGTCTGTCCATATGGAGTGAATGTGCATATAAAAGTGTAATTCTGAGTATGTCTTTGTGTGGAAAGGTTTGTTTCTGTATTCTGAGCAATGATGTGAAATCACTGGACCTGAACTGTATTTAATCTATATACATTTTATGAGGGTTTCTACACTTGAACTGAGCTCAGTGAGTCTGTATAAATTAATATTATATTCATATACTGAATACAAATTTAAGTCATTTCACTACAGATAAACTGCTTTACTAAAAGGAAAAAGTGTGACTGTCTAGACTGCTGAACATTTAAAATATGTCTCTTTAAAATGAGTTGATTTAAATCACTTCAGTTTTGTATATCTCCTTTTTATGGCATGTATGTCGGTCTGTACATAGGCCTCCTGATTCTGGAGAAACGACAGTATGAAGTAATTAGTGGAGAGACCCCCATCCCAAGCTGAAATGTTTGTGGTCTCCTCATTTTGTGACGCAACTCTGCTGAATTGCCCTTTTTGAATATTGTGGCAGAATTACAAGACATGAAAACAACTTTCTTGATGTATTTGTCATCCACAGCCAGTTACAGAGGCTGCCAGTGAAGTGTTGGTTTCAGAGAACATCGGTCAGATCCGCCTCAAATTACTTGCGTCTCTGCTGAGGGCAATAGAGGAGACTAATGGAGGAACTTTATCGCACCTAGAAGACCCCCAGGAGAAAGATGGCTCCCCTCAACAGCCGCCATCTAACAGTGGTGACATGGGTAAGTAACACGTTAGATAGTTTGGTTTATTTTACTTTTTTTCATCTTTGAGACAGTTTCATAATTTTGGAAAATTGTTTTCTTACTAAATTACCCTTTTTCTATTTGTGATCTTGTGAAAATATCCTGCTGATCTGAAGTGCCATGTTGTTTCGTTAATTGGATGAATTTACACATTTAAACTCCAACTTATAAAACATGTTGTTTTTAATTATCTAGTGGCATTAGAAGGCATTACTGTAGTTTTTAATTAGTGTTATGCATCAATATCCCTATCACTGGGAATTAAAGGCACTATAAATCACTGCAGTTTCATTAAAATCTGAACTTTTATTTAATTTTCCATAAGATCCCATTTCTCAGAGCAACGTTCCTGCTCGACCTGCCCCAGAGTCGGTCCCTCCTTCAGGACACCACCTCCATCCTCGAGCAGCAAAGCCCCCGGTGACTCGCGTCAGGCTCGGCATCCCGGAGATGATGACTGAACAACATGAGCTCAGTGCTATTCAAGAAGTGGAGACGCCGGTCAACACCAGCCAAGTTGCAGGTCAGCTTAGTCCCAGAAACACATGAATAACGGACCGTTTTATTACATGCCCAAACTAGCTATGGAGAGGAATATCAGTTGACTGGATTGTTGGCGTTTCCTATCTCCAGGCCCAGAGGAGAGTGTGATGGTTCCTTCACACAGTGTTGCATGGGATCTGCAGGAGGAATCGGAATCATCTGTGTCCTCTGACAGGACTCTGCAGACACCCTCTTGGTCCAGCAGTGGGCAGCAGACTGCTGAAAGGACAACCAGCTCTGGGGCGAGCTCAACGAGATCCAACCATCTCATCTGGAGAGAGAGGCTGTTGATGGGGGCAGGAACCTCTCCAGAATCCTCAGAGTCTGGTATGTAGAGGGTTGGTGAAGAGTGGTGAGATGAGGAATACAAATGTGAGAAAATGGTTGTATTTGATTAGAAAATAATAGATTGAAAATTAAGAAATTTCCACTTGGTTGGAACTTTGTTTTCCAGATTCAGTCCTGAGAATATTCTCACCGCTTTCCTCCGACTCTGGGAGAGGAGCAGATTACTCCGGTCCTGGAATCACAAGCTACAGATCCCCCACAGAGGTAACCGATGCCAGCTGAAGATGTACAACTATAACTTGTGATTTATCCTATGCAGTTCCAATTTTAGTAATTGTGCCCACGTGTTAACATCGTTCTGTACAAACACATGCATTTCATTGCATAATGGCACAGCGTCTTCTGCATTTTAATACTCTGAGATTCACATGTTGTGGATCAATGATGAAAATTAGCCAAATCTGAGCATTATCTGCCTCAGCCTATGATTATGCCAGAGAAGCTTTTTCTGTCTGTATGGAGTGTGTGTGTGTGTGTGTGTATGTTTGTGTCTGTAAACTGAGCGATGATGTGAAATTACTTTACCTGAAGTGTATTTAATCTAAATACATTTCATGAGGGATTCTACACTTGAACTGAGCTCAGGGAGTCTGACTGTCCTTTAAGTGTGTGTGTGTGTGTGTGTGTGTGTGTTCTGTATACTGAGCAATGAAGTAAAATTACTGGACCTGAACTGTATTTAATTTAAATACATTTCATGAGGGTAGGCAATAGCATGATTAATTTAGAAAAAGAAGACTGCTGAAAATTAAAATGACAAAAAAATAGAATGCGTCTTAAAATGTTTTGAAGAAATTTGAATCACTCCAGTTTTGTCTATCTCCACTCTTCATGTGTGTCAGTCTGTACATAGGCCTCCTGATTCTGACTGCCTCTCCTCCACCACCATCTCCACCGGCAGCTACATCACCACCGATCCGGAGCAAAACTTAAACACTGGTGAGGGACAGCAGAAGCGTCTTGTTCCTGATTTTGACCATGTGGTTGATATGCGCTGTGAATTTTGTGCATTCCAGCAATACAAAAAACATCAGAAAAGTATCCTGTGCAGCTTTTACAGATGGAACTGAAGTATTTAGATCATTTTACCAACATTTAATAGAGAATCTGACTCTGTACCCTTTTTTTAATTGTAAACATTACTATGGGACCTGTTGGAATATGCTTCAGTTCTGCAGGCAGTTGGACCTGTTGGCTGCTGCTGTATATTAATGTGGTTTGTTATGTCTGTGCATCTTAAAGGGGACAATATGAGGTACAGTACATGGGACCTACACTTTATATACTCTAGGCAGCGTGCTAGTTGTGTGTGTAACTTTTGTTATACCCTAAATCTGCTCTCCTGTCTTTACCCACCTCTTCATTAGATAAATCCCCGCCCCTCAGACGTGCAGAACAAGGACGAGGAGCAGGTTTACTCAACGACTCCTCTCCATCTGGTCAAAGCGTCTGTATTAATGATGGTTCGGCTGTAGACTCTGTATTTAATGACAGCAGCATCCAGCGCATTATAGACCGATACACAAGGGAGCTTAACATCTCCCTCAGCACCACTGGGAAAACCACAGGTATGTTACACATACTGCACACATTTATACCAAGAATACCCCCTCTCTCTTTTATTTGGCAGATTGATAGCAGTCGTCACATCTGTGCCCTGGCATTACTTTGCTGCCATGCTTTTAAACACATTGGCAAGTGAGAGAGTACAAGTTCAGCGTTGGAAGTTTGTACTACATGTCCTTTTCACACCTGGCAAATCGCTGTGTGAAATGGATGTTATTAGCCGTACTACCAGAATATCTTCATAAAGTTTCTTGTTTATCTGCAGACACTGAAGGCTCATATGTGGAGGAACATGACTCTTTAGTTTCTCAGCAGTCTTTGGTTCGAGTTGCAGAGGAGGGAGAGGAGGATGAAGGCTCTACTGATCGTCATTCTCTTCCCTCAGACGCAGCAGGAGCACAGAGGAGGAGCCTGGTCAGTGCCTCACAAACCACAATGTTTTACCTTGTAACACTGCAGTGGCCACTTGAGAAAATATTAAGTTAACAACAAACTTGTACTTAAAGGAATTATAAACTGTACAGTATATGGCTTGCTGATTGAGTCGATCATGTTACTTGAGCTGGCAGCTCTGAACAGTTTGACGCAGTTTCTCTGGTGTATTTTCCATTTTATTTCACACTTCAGAATCCGCTTTAGTGGCCAAGTATGTGTACACATACAAGGAATGTGACTCCAGTTGAATGTTACAATGTCCCAAGAACTAAACTCAGCAAAAAAAGAAACGTCCCTTTTTCAGGACACTGTATTTTAAAGATAATTCTGTAAAAATCCGAGTAACTTCACAGCTCTTTATTGTAAAAGGGTGTCTTCCGTGCTTGTTTAATGAACCATAAACAATTGATGAACGTGCACCTGTGGAACGTGCAGACGGTAGGCAATTAAGGTCACAGAAATAGAAACTTAGAACACTAAAGAGACCTCTCTACTGACTCAGACAGATGCCCAGGGTCCCTTCATATTTGCGTGAACATGCCTCAGGTATGCTGCAAGGGGGCAGTAGGACTGCCGGTGTTGCCAGGGCAATAAACTGCAATATCATTTCAGTTACTAACATTTCTGTGAAACTTTGTTCAGTTTATGTCTTAGTTGATTAATCTTTTTATGTTCATACAAATATTTACTTGTATATGCATTTACACTGAAAATGAAAAGCAGTTGTAAGTGAGAGGACGTTTCAGTTTGTGCTGAGTATATTTACAGGAAGAAAGAAATAAACCTACAGGTTATAACTTACATTCGTCAGTTCTAAGATTTTTTTTTCCTGGAAAATACCAGCCTTCAGTTTATTTGTTTTTGCTATAGGAATGGGACAGTACAGTGAATACAAATTTGGAGCGCATCCCATGCGAGGACCCTTCACTGGCTGAGGACCAAGAGCAGGACTCTTTCAGACCTCTGATTGGTCAGCTGATGGATCAGTCATCCTGTCTCGCTGCCGATCACAGGGACTCGGCCATGGAACAACTGGTCGGTCATCCATCAGCTCAGTCGTCCATGATTGGTCAGCAACCAGGTCCGCCGGTTTCGGTGAGCTTGGATCAAGCTGGATGGGACTCCACTCTGAGTCGGATGATTGGTCGACTCTCCCATCAGTCCAGCTCTCATTGGCTGAGTGGTGGGCAGGACTTTTATGCAGGCCAGCTGATGGGTCAGATGGCGTCAGAGCAGTCGACCACATGGCTGGATGGAAGTCGGGAGGAGAGCCGGATGAGACCACTGGTTGGGGAGCTGGACGAGTCTGCTGGCCAGCACAGTGGAAGCTCAGGTAAATTGGATTGTATGGGGTAACTGAAATGTGCACTACGGTTTCAAATTATTAGTGGACTATAAGATTGACAATGACCAGTTGTCAGTGTTGTTACACAATTAATTGATACATGGAAATTAATTCATCAAATGACAGTGAATCCTCATATCACGTAGCTCAGTATGCAATTAGTACAGCTGAATTCAAATTGTGATAAAATGATTTGCCCTGAGCTACTGCAGTAACATTGCCTGCACTGCCAGTTTATATCAACATATGTAATGACTTCTCTCAGTTGTCTCACATGTCCACTATGGTCAGGTTTGACATGCTCATTCAATTTGAGATTATTGTTGTGATTTGGCGCTATATAAATAAAAGAGCAGGTCTAGACCGTACTCTGTGATATTATTGAAAGAAATCTATCAACTTTCTGAAAGTTTAACATCAACTCATCTACGGTTTGTAGATGAAAGGACCCATGTGGATCTTGGTGTCTCAACTGAGGCCAGTGTGCCGTCATACCCAGTGTTGCCTCCTGAAGCCTCGTCGCACAGTGCCTCGGGTGTGAATCCACATCCACAGGACCAGACACTGCAGAACCAAACCAGTCCAATGGACCTGGACCCGGAGAGGACTGAAGGTGAGGTGTTAAATGTTCAGGTAATTACAGCCAATTTCAAAATAACCCAAGACATTATGCTGGTTAAATAAGAGGGGTATATTCTCATCATGCACAATATGTATATCTACAGAGCAGAAGGGAGTTACAAACTTAATTTCACTTTCCTTGCTGTAATGTGAGTGACAAATCTACTTTCTACAGTCTGTTTGTAGCTCAAGAGAAAGTTTAACTTGGGGAACCACTTATGTTTAAGTCTTCTATCTTGTATTTGCATGTTTATTTCTTACACTTTTTCTTCTAACCTTAACTGTGCGTTATGTGCATGTTTATTCCCATTTTCAGTGTTTCCAGGTTCAGACTCATTCCACCCACTACTGGCTGAGGTCACTCATAATGAAACAGCAGAACCCTCCATGATATTTCACCTGCCAGATCACGACGTGCCTCCGTCTCCTGAAGGACAGCCAGCCAACGGGGAACGCAGTGTTTCCACACCTTCTGAAGAGTTTGAGACCCACGATGATTCTTCTGTTGAGTCTGAACAGTCTCCTGAGCGCCTTAGAACAGAGCATCCTTCCAGCTGCTTGAACGCTTCCCCTGCCTTACATGAATCTTTCTCCCAGCTCATCACCTCCCAGCACAATATCCATGAATCTGTTGTGGAGCTAACAGCTCTGAGTCTGTCAGCTTTAACCTTGTGTGATGCACCTACTATGAGCGTGCCGCAGCCAGATGGAGTGGGTGCAGATAGAAGCTGCATTTCTAGAAGACAAGGAGATGCAGTCCCATCCAGCGGTCTCTGTGATAGAGAACTGAAGTCTGGGCAGGGTTCAAACCTGACAAATGCAATTCCTGTCTCAGAGAAGATATTGGTACGATCACGTGTTTTTGTTCACCTTGATAAACTTTGAAAAAGCATCATGTCTGACCGTTGAGGTGCTAAATAAGGCAACACTACGTAGTTTGGTCATGCCTCCTATTTCTTTTTTTTTTTACTTTTATATCTTGTGTGTTATGTCACTGGCTGAGTTGTGCACTAGTCATTTCTCCCGGTTATCAGGAAGCTGCCAGTGAGAAGGGAATCCTGGAGCAGTCAGAGATAACACTGGTGAGTCTGACCGATACCACATTGCAGGACCAAGAGACCATCACTGATGAGGAAGGACAGAAAGGCCAAGAGACAGAGGTGACTGTACGGTTATGAAAATGTCATGACTTGGTTTCAGCAGCAGGTGTCTTTCTGATCTTTGAACCCAAACCGTGTCTTCTATAGGGGTCAGAATCCACGTTACCTGATGAGACTCCGGAGGACAAGAACCAAACGCAACCAGGTAACATCACATCTGCTGCAGACTAAATATATCTAGCTGAAATATAACGTTAGGAGTGCTGCATGGGCGAGATTGCTGCTTCAGATTTAAATATGGATGTGATCAGCAACAAAAAAGAAACACTACTCAAACTAATTAAACAATCTTTGAATGAGCCTTCCGGTTTCCTTCCCCACATTCAGTGACACTCCTGGAGTTTCAGTGGGGTCCCAGCGGAGGCCTGGAGGAGGTCTGCCAGCAGAAGCGCAGAGCTTTGCTCCAGAGATCATCCCAAAGGGTGGAGGAAATCAAGGCCAAACGGGGTCTTGCCAAGACTCAACCTGAGATCCAAGCCCCATCTAAAGCCAGAGAGCAGTCTAAAACTAAGGACTCCAAATCAGTTACCTGTAAGTCAAAGACTAAGTCGGACCACCAACACAAAACTAATACCAAGTCAAAGGGAGAACAGGCTGAGCAGCATCAAACGGAGAAATCTGGCTTCATCAAGCAGAAGAGGCCCCAGCTTCCTCCTCCAGGTATCTCAACTTTACACTATTGGACACTTAAAGTAACACGAGCACTACATTTGTATTTATACCCACTGAAAGTGTGAATAAACAACCGGTCAGAAAAATAGATTGTGTACTAAATAGACAATCAGCCACTCGGAGCTGTGTATTAGACCCTGTTCTACTATTACTGCAAAGTTAATGAGGATAAAGTTCAGGTCACGATGTATTGAGAGATAACTTCAACAAAGAGGAACTATACAACTCTGGTTTTGCTTTTGTTAAGTGCAGCATAATGATATTTAACTATTAATCTGAAATCAATTATTTATCTGTACTGTGCTTTCTAAGAATGCCTACCCCAAAATGTCAAAGTTGTAAACGGTGCGCTCGATTTAGGATGCCAATACTTTCACTGCCATGACACACTATTGGCTCTTTGTTATTTCTGTCTTGAGCAAAATAAGAACTTAAGCCTCCTCTACACGTAATCCATAAGTCAGTGCCTTGTAAAGTTGTCAACAACTGTAGCAGAGGCATTAACCTACTGCAACAATCTGCGTAACAAATGTTCTTTGTCCCCTCAGTGAGTGATTCCAGGCTGACAAAAGTGGATGAGGTGAAGATCTGCACAACTGAGCAAAGGAAACAAGATGTTTCCAAGATGCACCAGAGAACTCAGAGGTACTACTAAAACTATTTTTTTTTTAAACATGTACACTGTAAATGTTTATCTGTATTAGTATACACCAAAGCAGAGGTGGCTCTGAATGTTTTTCAGCCACAGATTAAGAAGAGTCATTTGTTTTAAATCTAAAACATGTGCTTCTGCAGACTGTATGAGCAGCTGGAGGAGGTGACGCATCAGAAAGCAATCAGGAGTAGACAGGAAGTTTATGCAAAAAACCGACTGAAGGCCAAGGAGTTCCACCAGGTAAAACAATGAGTGTCTGAGAAGTTTTTAAAGACAATATGCTAATTGAAGAACTGCGGGCACCAAACGTTTAAAAAATAAAAAATTCTCTCTCTCTCTCTCTCTACAGAAAACCTTACAGAAGCTTCGTGCCAAGCAGAATCAATAGTGATTAACATTGAATGTTACTTTTATATATTTAATTTATTTTGTAAAGTTTTTACCAATAAAGCATTTTATAATCTACTTCTTGTACTCAAGTTTTGCAGACTGGATCATAGAACTTCTGTTGCAAAACTGTTTGCAATTAATGGGTTAGACATTTTCAAATCGGTCAACGCTAACTTTAATTTCTTTAATGAGAAACATTCATGAATTAATTTACAGATATACAAAACTAGCTGTTAAGCACGAACTGAAAAACAAATCCACAGCTGTACACAAGATGTTCCACATGGTCAGTTTAGCTTTAGATCCTGTTTCAAGTGCACATTCCTGCTGAAGTGTGAAGTTCACTGTCACACTTAATTTAATGATCCAATGTTGATTCTTAAGTATCAATGAGGGTGGAAGTATAGTATCCTGTTGGCATTTTGATAACAGGATAGTATAGGTGTAAACCAAACAATAAGACAGAACTTGGAAACAAACTCCAAAAAGCAAAAGCCTCAATATTTCGTAAGTGGTTTCAAGCCTCCGTCTGCCTTGTTACCTCATCCTCAAAGTGCCACAAATTCTAGATAAAGAATCATGTTTCCCTTTCCCACAATAAGGCCATAATGAAGGCAGCTTTTGTTAAATCTGAATTGGCCTCAGTGAGTTTTAGAGTTTTGAGAAAGCTATCGTCTTTGGGCTCTTCTTCTCCATGGCCGCCTGAGCTGATTTCATCAAATCTTGAGTCTGAAGCATGCTCATGTTCCAGGTAGCCTGGAAAAGGATAAACAAGGTTGTGATGGAATCAAGTGTTAACTGCATTTAAAAAAACGATTAAAGTTAAAAGAAACCCTCCATCATTGTTGTAGTAGATGTTCTTACCATGTAGTTCAGCCCCTCTGCTACACTGTGGTCTCTGGAATAGATGAGGTTTATTTTGGTTCCCTGCACAGCTACAGGGCTGCGACCAGCGATCTCCCCCGCCATCTCTAGAGCTCCTGCCATCATGGCCTCTTTATCTGCAAACACTCGGCTGTAGGGGAGCGTTTCCAAGTAAGAGACCAATTACTTAAAGTGATAGTTGCTCTTTGAAATTGAAGTTTGAATTTGGTTGAATCCATCCCTAACAGACTGGCGTCTTAATTAAATCCAGATGTTAAATCTACAGTATCTGTAACACTGAGGAAATAAATTATTTGTGCATTAATGACTTTTAAGCTGATCTAGCACCATTATGCAACAACGCCACCTGCTGGCAGAACAAACAGGTTTGTTCTCAAACACAGAACAGTCTGGTGATCCTGCATAACCAGATTATCATGGTCATCTACCCTAGTTAAACATGAGCCTGCTTCATAACATCAAAAAACCTAAATGATCCTGACAATATCAGACTAATCCTAAAAATCAAACAAATGTTCAGTGAACACAATACTATTTAATAAAAGAAACCACTAATATAGAAGTACCTGACCAGTCCGCTGCTCTTGGCTTCATCCGCGTACATCTTCCTGGCGGTCAGAGCCAACTCATTCACTAAACTGTAGAAAATGGGGGAAGTTAATCACATAACAAAATTAACTTTATTGCATACATTGAAAGGGTTTTAAACATGTAACTTTAAAGCCATAAGAATCTAAAAGTAGTGAATTTGTAGCTTAATAGGTGTAAATTTTGTATGTTGTCTTCCCACCAGCTCTTTGAAATCTCAGCAGTTACTGTAAACTGTTTTTGTTTATCTGAATGTATAATCTTCCTGATTCATACAGTTTTAGTCTGTCTGGTCACATTATTAGCCTAATAAGAATTGACAGGAGGTGAGTGTTGAACAGTGCAGGACTATTACACGTGAAACATGTACAGTTGGAGGGTTTGTTAACCATAAAACTCCCACGGACTTTATAACATGTCAGAAGAAAGGAAAAAGAGCTGGGGGGAAAATGTTGAGCTGTAACTGTTCAGTCTGTTTTGGGGTTTGTTGAATGGATCTGTCTGATTCAGGTTATTGATACTTAGTGTTCAGCACAAAAACTTTTTGTAGGTTTCTTTTTGGGTTGAACTTTGAGAAGCTGCTCTGTAGTTCTGTTTTTTGGAAGCTCATCCCACACTAATATAAAGTTTATGGCTGTGAGACATTTAACACTTTCAAGCACATGCCAAAAAAAATATTTTCCAACTTGTGCCTAAATGAAGATATGCTTGAACAGAGGTGTGTGTGTGTGTGTGTGTGTGTGTGTGTGTTATGGCAACCTACAACACAAAGCTTTGTTGTTTCCATGGTCGTCATTGAGAAATCAATATTGATTTTTGGCTTATTAATGAAGATTTCTGTCATTTTAAATGCTTTACACACAAACACATTACATCACACGTGTTCCTACATGTGGCCTGTAACTAACAGTAAGTAAAAGATGACCTCATCCCCAGACTCTGTTCTTTATTAATAAAATGGTCTGTTTACCTGCGGCTGCCGATGACTTTGGAAGTCTCTGGAGCGTTCCAACATCCGCTGCAAGTCCAATATCAACTTCCTGTAAAGCAAAGCAGATTCCTAACTATCATCAGAACATCATGTTTTTCACCTGCATCCTTTAACACAAAGCCGTCTATTGATGTTTTATTAATGCTTTATTCTTTTAATTTTTACTTTCTTGAGCAAACATCACTGAACACGTTTTTTTTCCATTCACATAGCTTTTTTTGTTTTTCTATGGAGCCTCAAAACTGTAACTATAACTGGATACATCAGTAAACTATGTGACAACTCCTGTGTGTCTACTCGGCCAGCCCCGTTTGGTCTCCTCCTCTTTCAGGAAGAAGCAAACTGTCTTCTTTTTCGAGGTGTCAAGGCCGTCCAAATTCTAAAGTTTCCAGAGAGTAAGTGTTTGCTCGCAGCGAGTGTGCGATAGGCTGTCCTGGGAGGAACACAGCAGGTGAAATTAAAGGGTAAAGAGCTCAAAAAAGAGAAATGCGGGGTGGTGGTGGCGCATAGATAAGATGCTTGCCTTTGGTGTGGGAGACCCACTGCAAGACATCCACCATTGTGTCCCTGAGCAAGACACTAAACCTCTAGTTGCTCCAGAGGCGTGCGACGTCTGACATGTATAGCAATTGAAAGTCGCTTTGGATAAAAGCGTCAGCTAAATGTAAATTAACTGCAAAGGAGGGAGCTGTGGCAGCAACATGTGGTAAAAACACGAGTAAGTAGTTAAAGATAAAATAAAAGCTGTCAGATAAGACATGGAGAAACAGTTTGACCAACAGGTAGATAATACTGACATACGATATAGCCTTTAGTGGGGAAAAAGTAGTCACAGATGGAATAATGATCCTGTTAGATAAGGTCTAAATAGATATGCCCCCACACGAAGAAACGTACACAGCAAGTGGAAGGAAGATAAGTAAGTGCATTTAAGGGCCAGTACAGGCAGAGAAAGAAGAAGAATTAGGGTCTTAAAAGGGTTGAGTTAAGATAAAAAGGAGAGATGGAAAAAGAGAGGCTATATTGGATAGGGAGGAGACGAGCGCTAGACTTGAATAGAAAAAAACAACAACTCCCAAACAAAGAAGTTTAAAGTTGATGGCAGGAAGATGAGTCTGGGTACAGACCAAGGCACCTGCAAAGCACAACAAACCAAGAGACATGACGACAGCGAGACAGAGCTACAATGGACAAGATGGCAGCTCTAAAGTTTCATGCTGGAAGAAGGTGAGAGAGCAGCTTCAAAATGGACACAGTGGAATCTGACTATGGGGAAGAGAGGGAGGGCCAGAAATGAGCAGTGATGCAGGAGGCGTTCCACAGAGAGGCGTGCCAACCTGATGCATCACAGGCCCAAGCCCACCTCTGCTGACGTTAACGTCTTCCCAATGCTGAGGACGCGGCCAGTCAGACCACCCCTACCATCTACAGTTGAATCATAAAGAGGACAACACCACCTTAAAGACTGCGAACCTAACAGCACGAAGTTTAAAAGGTCAAGAACGCTTCACAGTGAAAATGAACTGAACAGCCAAAAATGCTCTCACATGTGACCGAGTGCTGACAGAAACTTCACCAAGGAAGAGCTCTCTGTCTCACCAAGACTGTCCGAGGCCTTGAAAACTGCAACATTTGCTGAAAAAGAACAGTTTGAAGACTGACCTCGAAAGAGTTTGGGAGTAGGAGTGTTGATAATTTGTAGGAGAAGAAAAAAAGAAAATAGGGACTGATGTTAAATCCAAAAAAGACAGAAAGAATAAGGTTAGCTCAGGATCTATAAAATAGATAGATATGTCATTAGTAATTGATTAATTAACACAAATATACTGAGTTAATAACTTTGGTGTCCTACTCTCCTCCATCAGCCACCTGTTACTGAATTTCAGCAAAAAGGGATCAGAACATCAGGCATTCCTTGTGTTTTAAACAGAGATTTAGGAAAAGGGGATCCAGTGGGATTATTTTATAGTAAAGCTGTTAGAGATCAGCTCTGCTCTGGGGGAGGAACAGCCAGCGCAGAACTCCTCAGTGTAGCAGATACAATGACAGGCAGCCTTTCAGGCTTGATTTTAAAGAGGCTGAAAGGAGAAGCCACATTGAAGCCTTTATAAAAGCAATTTCAGCAGCACATTGCTACTGCATGCTTAAATTTGATTGTGAGTCTTAAATCACGATTGACCTTTGTGATGTATTCCACAGGAACAACCAAGCAACTGTAATGATAACCTGAGACACGTGTGTGATGCTGAACACCTGAGTTAATCTATGTCTTCTTTCTGTTTTTGTAGGTATTATTAGTAAAGTAGTCTGAAGTATGGAAGAATTTTAGTGCACTAATGAACAATGGAGTTTTATTTCAAGATTTACTATTTGTACGTCCAATAGCAATGTAATTCAATACACAGATATACAGGGCGTTAGAAGGGTTAAATTGCAAGCATCTAGGAAGCAAACTCATGTTGAAAAAGATAGATATTTTCCTCACAGATAGGAAAGTTTCCAAACTACAAACAGTAGGATAAAGCTCACTTATTGGTAATAGTAAGATACAGTTGCAAGCAAGGTAAATACTTCTTCGCAGCCAGTCAAAGGCCACTCTCCTATGAGGCCTCGTGAGGCAGACGCAGCAGCAGGCAAGATCAAGCACGACCTGCACCACCACAGAGACAACTTTGAGTCCAAGTGAACCAGCAAAGGGAAGAACAAGACTGAAACTACAAACGACTGAGCGCCCTCAAATTGGTACCCAAGAAACCTGAGTGCCAAAAAGAGTTCCACAGTACAACAGGCAACTTTCAAAATAGACATCATACATGTTTATCGGACATTTTGAACCATTCTGAAGTGTCGCATGAATGATTGTCGAAACATTGTTATGTCTGGTTACTGTATTGTTACACAGAAAGTTCACTATGCACCCTGTGTAATTGTTAGCTTGCTAAAGTATAAAAGGAAAGAACAGCTCACTGCATAAAGATATCATTTTGTTTCACGAGTGTAAACCATTTACAAGGTATCTCTCACTATATTATAGCACGTATGGGTAGTTTAATATGTTCATGCTCATTTAAAGGGTAATAAGGAGAGAGGAGTAATGGAAATCCTTGTCATTATAACTTGCTCAAATATGTTAGCAAAAGAAACAGCCCACCGCATGATTGATTTTACAACATGTAAACAATTTACACAGTATGATAGCATCAAAAACACTTGCAAAGGAAAATGTAGAAGCAGATTTTGTGAAAATTGTATTACAAGACATACATCAATCTAGTCCCATCACAGTAAGAATGTCCTGTTTCTAACACGGAGCACAAACAACACCAGTTTATTCCACAAAAGTCAGGTTGTGGATGAAATGATCAAGCGGAGGGCATGCAGAGGACACAGAGAGGAGGAGCGGGCAGTCAGGGACTTTCCCAGATCCAGGTGCAGTAGGAAAGAGAGCCAAGAGATGATGTGAAGCCAAGAAACAGAGCTATAAAAGGAGGTCCAAAAGGAGGTGAAAGTCAGTTGTTACATGGTTTTCATGTCGACTCGGGTCTCTGTTCTGGTAATACAATGGGGCTCTATTTAGCACCGATCTCTGACACACTCCGGTGGAAATTTTGTTTCTTGTTGCCGTCTGTCTTTGTTGATAATAAAAATGTTGGTAAGAGTTCAAGCTTTCTTATCTGGCCCAAATCTTGAATCTTTACATGACAATCAGGGAGGGGAGTTTCAGCTGCAAAGCTTTTTAAAGCTGATCTGCTCCGTCCCCTCGCTCTCTCAGCTCCTGCAAGGTCACCTTTTGTTTGTTTCATTTTTCACTCATCCATGCATCCGCCTATGTTACTGATCTCACTCATTTCCACATAATATTGATTTGTTTATCTAAGAAGTTTAATAACAGTTTTCACTGTTTGTTTGTACCACATCTCTGTTCTTCCACCTTCTTCTTTGTCTGAACTATGAGCCAATTCATAACTAGTGAATATCATCCATCGTCAACCGTCAACCCTGGACACTCGCCTGCCCATTGCAGGGCACACAGACACAAACAACCACTCACTCACATTCACACCTAAGGACAAATCAGAGTTGCCAGTTAAGCTAGCATGCATGTTTTTTGGACTGTGGGAGGAAGCCGGCAGACAAGGGGGGGGAACATGCAAATAGAAAGGCTTGGGACGACCAAGGTTTGAACCCCCTAACCTAAACCACTGCACAACCGTGCCGCCCTATGTAGTGAATACTTCCTAAAAGAAAAAAATTTACTTTTAGGCTAAATGGAAGTTATCACTATATTGATAATGTGATTCCAGTGAATTTAGATTTTTTTTATTTTATTTTTTATGATTTAGTCCTTGCGGAAATTCATTTTGTGTCATACAGCAAACGTCAGATGAACAACATCAACAAACTAACAACCAGACAACTGCACTGGCAACACAAACATCCCCCCCGAGTGCAGCGCAAGTTACGCTAAAGTGCAGCTCACCGACACCCCAAGATTCAGCTCTGTTTTATTACCTCATTGTTTGTTAAGAAATCTAATACTAGTAGACACAAATGACCTGCGGGCCCGGTTGGTTCGGAGAGATGGCACCTTAGACCTTCTGCCTGATGGTCACAGCTCATACTCGCCAAATAGGGGATGTGATACATCTCTAATAATCGCCTGCCCCTTCCTCGCCGATCGGGACTCGCAGCTCGTCGTCATGCTAGTTTGCTGTACCCCAGCTATTTTACTGGACATTAACTATCTTATGCTGTTTATTTTTATTATTCACTGACACTGTGAAATACCAGGCAATGGAACAAAAAGTTAGTATGCGTTCCACAAAAGGACCAAATATATTTCTCTGTCCACATTAAAAAGTCTCAGTTTAGGCATAAAATATAGACACTGCAACCTTTCTTATAAATAACACCTGTATTAAATAGTGGGAAATAGTACACACTGTACTCGGTCAGTCAAAAAAGACTCTACCGATCTGATGATGTCACCATTTACTCCTAACTGCAATAGTCTCTCCATCATAATATGGGGTCTGATGGGACTTAATGTAGATGAAAAGTCTACAAAAGAACACATACATATTTGCTTGGGCCAGTCAAGATGACAATAAATGTTATGCAGCATAAATAAAGCATCCTCACATTGTTGAACTGACTAATGAAGGGTTATCATAGATGCGTAAAACTCACTCACTCACAGGATCACGATTAGCTAGGCGCACTCCAATACACTGCTTACAGTCACATGATGACGCTCGACAACAGACTAGAGGAAAACCAAACTGTGCTAGTTATCGTTTACTGATTCTGTCGTCCAAGTCAACACGTGTGTGAAATCTGAAACCTCCCAATTCATTCACCCATTTAGTGCCCAACAAGCTGTGAAATATGGTGATCAATTCCTGAGTTACAGCCAAAAACGTGTTTTGTGAGTTGAGGTCACACTTGACCTTCGACCACCAAATTCTAATCAGTTCATCCTTGAGTCAATGATTGTGCTAAATTTGAAGAAATTCCCTCAAGGAGTTTTGAGATTTACGAGAATCTGATGGATGGACAACCCGCAACCATAATGTCTCCCTGCACGCTTAAAAATATTGTTAGTTGAATAATTACAATGAAGTGTAAAAATAAATTTGAAGTATACTTTTACCGTCATTCAGGGAATACAAGTCATTTAAACTTCATTTTAACATTTCACATTTCTTGTTTTTAAATTTAGATGGGCGTGTACATACCTTTACCTGGAACCATGCGTCCTGGGTACACAGGCGGATGTCACAGGCTGTGACCAGGTCAACACCTGCCACAGAGCACAGCATCCACAGTTAACATGACAGTGTGTAAACTCACTTTTCTTTTCTCTGCCCGTTTAAAAGTACACAACCTCCAGTCAGGTCAATCTTTGCAATAGCAGGTAATTGTACCATTTTCAGAACACTGACTTATCTAAACTGATGGCTTGGGGCCTGTTTCACAAAGCAAGTTAGGCTCAGTCTGGCTGTTTCTGGCCATCGTTGTATCCTGAAGCTGATTATCAACTGGCTCAGTTAATTTGGATTTTCCAATCCAGCAATGAGGCAGAGTTGTAAATCACAGGTAATATCAGATTCAAGAGGGGATTGTTTCATATGATACTGCGTTACACAAAACTAGGACAGAAGCTGCATTAACATGAATGATATTCAAATATTAATAGTAAGATTAAGTGTGGGAATTATTGTCAAGGCCAGGGGTTTTCAAAGTCTGAGGACAGTGGGCCTTATATTAATTATTGTAAACCACGGTCTAAAGTAAAATAGTAATAAATAATAAGAATGAGGATTTTTAGCTCTCTGACTATAAAGCAGTCTGTTACCTGTATTTAAATGTGCTATACAAATAACTTATTATTATTTAATTTAAAATCTAACTTATTATTAGTTGCAGTATAATAACGTGATGATGACGCCTTACCTCCCCCAATACAGGCTCCATGGACGGCCACCACAACAGGCTTTGGACACTACAAGACGAAAATAATAATCAATAGGATGACAGGAAAATACACTGACAACCCAACATGGTCAACGCCGTCCAAATTCAAAAATCAAATCTTGTAATTCCTCAGAGTGATAAACAGAAGCCCTCTTCACCTTCTCTATGACGGAGAACGCCTCTTGATATTTAGCAATCATTTTTCTGATGTTCCAGGAAATCCTGGCCGTGTCGTCGCCCTCTGGTTGGAGTACCTCGCTGGCCATGTCCATCAGGTCAATACCTGGGCGGTAACACAGCACAGAGAATAAGTACAAATTTACTACGAAGACAGTGTCACTAAAACAGCTCGATACCCACCGGCTGTAAAGAGCCGCCCTGCTCCAGAAACCACCACCACTCTGCAGTCTGGGTCTTCAGCTATCTCATTAAAGCAATCCACCATCTCACTGAGAGAACAACAAACCAAAAACAAAAGCTCCGGTCAGTGTTGGGTAAACTGTTAAATAAATAAAGACTAGTATGAGTGGTTTACTTTTTAACATGAGTTTAATATTAATTATTTTAAAATGTTTCTTGTAATTTCTTTAGGATGTGCTTTAGGATGGATAACTGTTTTCAAAGAAATCCGTAGGCTAGTTGCTCTTTAAAATATGCAATACAATAATAAATTTGCAAATCTGAATATAACTTTTAAGAGGTGCTTTAACATTTATGGAATATGGATATTAATCTGATCTGAACTTTTTGGGAGATCAGTGCCAACACGTAATGATTATTTATGGCAATTTAACTGAGTAACATTGCTCAAAGGGATTTTTTTTAAATACAGAGACTATCGTCAACAAAAATCCAATGACTGCCTTCAGACTGGACAAAACTCAGCTGCCAGGTTTTTAACCAGAACAAGAAACCGGATCACATGACTCCTGTTTTTGCTTCATTACTACATCAGGGGATCCTACATGTTTTATGGCCTCTCTCCCGGTTATCTCTCAGACCTTTTTGTACTGTCTCCACCAGCCCCTTGAGATCCTCGGGCAGAGGTCTGCCGTCTGTCCCAGAGGCCCGACTTAAAGCTAAAGGGGACAGAGTGTTTGCAGTCAGGGCCCCGAGGCTCTGGAACAGCCTGCCCGAGGAAATCAGGGCCCCTTCTTATAAACAAACTCCTTTATATTGTTTTTCTTGTTTTAATTTTTGTGTGTTGTATTTTCTGCCCTTGTAAAAGCACTAAGTTCCTGAAATAAATTCTAAGGAGGAGCTTTCACATTTATGGATATTTTATGTGATGTAACTGAATCTTCAATAAGCAAAACTTTTTGGGAGGTCAGTGTCGACACCCATCCCTAACACATAATGATTATTCAGCAGCTTAACTTAGTAACATTCCCCAAAGGGATTTGTTTAAGACAGACAGCACTTAATTAAAAAAATAACAGCCATGTTCATTTGTTTTAAGAGAGATTCTTGCCTCCAGAAGGCTTTGTTCATGGCGTTGCGTTTCTCAGGACGGTGAAGCTCTACGTGTGTGACGGACTCCGCTGGGTGAGTGATGGCCAGGGTGGTGTAAGGAGGGACGGGACCACCTGAAGACGGCGACGACGACATGGCCCTGACAAGAGCCTGACTGGGCAGCCACAACCCGCTGTCTGGCAGAAGAGAAACAGAAAAAATAATAAATAAAACAAACAGAATGAGTTATCCAGCAGGAAGAGATTTTAACGATAAGAAGTTACGTAGATTTAGAAGAGAAGAGCAGAGAACTGCTAAAGCTCAGGGCAGAAGAATATTTTATGATTTGATTATTGACCTTTTTGGGGGGGTTGAACTGTTAGTTTGACAAAATAAGACATTTAAGAAGTCACCTTGGGCTCAAAACAAGTGATGGATGTTTTTCACAATTTTGTGGAAGGGCTGGGAGATGTGGTCAAAAATGTTATCACAATAAGAAGTTTCATATATCAATAGTTATCAGGATAAATGTCAAATCAATATTTCTTAAAGTTAAAAGGCTGATTTCTGCTCCTGAGTGAAACCAAATGCTTATTTGTGGTTTTAAATTTTTCTTTATGGTAAGAATAAACACTTGATACCAAACAGTGGATCACTAAACAAGTCTATGTCAGAACATTTAAAACAATTATGATAAATCTTTTTTCAACAAAAATGCACAAGTAAAATTAAGCACAATCTATTTTCAGTCCCTTTTCCTCAAAGTAAATATCTTAATAGAAAAATAAGTGCTAATTTGTTTGTGAATCAAAAGAATGAAGTCAAACATTTAATGAATATTTGTTATATTTTTTGGAGGAAAATTTTATTGCAATAATTATCATTGTAATTTTAATTGTTATTTTACACTGCACTACAATAAAAACAAGAATATCCTAAAACCAAAATCTGAAAATACAGATAATTTTAATTCACTAAATCTATGTTAAGTCCCAGAGGCAGTAGGACCTCACGCAGTGGTGCCAAGCCAAGTAGCATTGCATTGTAATATATTTGTCAAGCACAAGGTCGTGCTTTTACAAGTGGAGGAAAGTAGAGCTGAAACAAATCGCTCCAAATAAAATTAAATGGCAACGAGTTTGATAAGTCATTATGTACAAGAAACAACTGTTTAATAACATAACCTTGAGCTTTTGGAAGTTGTGCTTTTTTCACTATTTTCTCACATTGGATGGACTTAATTAATTAATAAATAAATAAGTTAAATTGTAAATGAAATCAGTTTTATCTCCAGCAAGTGTAAAGTATAATAAAACAATATATCAACAGATGAGCTTAATACAACCCTGCATGTTGCATGCGATGCTCCCACTGGTGACCTTTCACCTACATGGCACTTCAGAGCTGTTGTTTACATCAGTTAAATAAGTATTCATCTACGAACTAGCACGAGCTGATACACCATGGAAAACGTGATAATTAACACGAGGTGCACATTTAAATTCAATGCATTTTATATAATAGTAACAAACAGCCGCAAACAAACACACAAAACACGCTCACTTACATTTCGAGACGGCTGACCGGACAACGGCTGACAACATCTCCACGTGAACGTGTCGAAATCCAGATTATTTGATAATGAACGGAGATTAATGAACTTCACCTGCTTCCTTCTGTCTGTGCAGCTCAGCGTGCTGCTAACCAACGTTACTGAAGCTAACTAGTTATTAACAGCTGTCTTACCGAAAGTCTTTGGTGGTAAAGTTACCTGCTTGCACACAAAAAGCAGCCGATATACAGTCCTGCTGTGTGTACCAAAGGTTAAGACGCAGGTTGCAGCCAAACAAATGTAATAGTGTCCAATAACAAAGAAACTTTCATGACTCCTCCTTAGCTAGTTTTAGCCTGGTACGGTGGCCGACTGGGCTCATATTCACTGCTCGATAAAAAGGCGCTGCATTATGTGCTGTATAAAGTTATGCTCGTGTCTTTTGAGGTCAATATTTTGTTAATAACTTTTAAATACTGTGCTTATACCCTGGTTTATGTAACAATACTGAATTTAGATATGAAAACACATTTGTATGTAGAGTAATTAACCACTTATATTTATTCTTTATATGGACACAGCACACTTTGTTTTCTTGTTTTCTGTTCTGCTTTTTTTTTTTTTTACAACATAACATGCAGTATTGATGTGGTTTTTGTGGGTGGTAGCATCTATGACATGTACTAGTTTACTTTATCTCTTGTCTGTGTACTCAAAACAGCCCGTAGAGCAGCTGTAGCCTCGTCTGTTCACACTTTAACTGTTGTTTTCTGATAGTTTGACTCTTTTAATCAGCTGGGGGTAAGTTGGAATTATTATTTATATTGCATAGGCTTGGCTATAGGATTAAATTTATGAGTTTTTATAATTGCATTTCATATTTTTACTTGTATTTGTATGAATTAGTAGTAGTGTGTACCTGCCCAGGAATTGCATGATGTAAAGTAGCTAAAAAGCATCTCCTCTCTATGATATTAATGTTTTTGTTCAGGTCATGTGTGACAGTATTACATTTATAAGTACTGTAGTATTCATGCACTCTTGTAGTATTGCACCTTGAAGTATGGTCACAATCTGATCTGTAGCTAGATACAGTTTGTTGTCCAATAACTACGTCTTTATGTTTGCTAATCTGGGTTTTGCTTGATGTCTGTGTATAATAGTTGTTTCACTATTATGATAAATAAACAACCTTGTAACCTTGTTTATATTTGTATTCTTCTATAAAATCTGTTTTTGTACAGTTAATATTGAGAGTTAAGAGTTAAATGTGTGTCAACATACTCACAGCGGTTCAGATTCTCACAAAGAGCCCAATCTTTGAGTTTTAGTGTGCAAAACTGTCTAAATTCTTACAGAAGTGCAAAATACAGTCCAGATCACTAAAGCATTGCAACATACTTAACTGGTAATAACTTCACAACCACGTGTCCTACATTTGAAATGTATGGGAGCTACTTACTGTGAATTGGGTTTTAAAGTTATACCTATATTTTCCAGTGTCACAGTATCACTGTAGCTTTAGCTTTACTGTAGCTGAGCTTTAAAGGATTAAACTTACAATACCATGTAAATATCTAAGTTTTGGTGTCCCGATTAAAGCTAATTTTGTGGTTGATATAGAACAAAAACAGTAAATCAATGCACTGAAGAACAGTCAGTCATCATTTTGCACTGTCACTGTGTTTTACATGGCTTTAAGTTTGTTTTATTCTCTCTCTGTTTGAAATGTACTCTGTTTTAATATGAAGCACTTTGTAACTGTGTTTTGAGAGGTGCTATATAAATAAAGTTTATTTTTAATAGGAACTTTATTGCACATGGTTTTCAACTACCTGGTTCACACGTTTAGAGGCTCTGCAGAGAAACGTGAGTTGATTCCTGCCCACTGGCATCACAGGGGCCTCGGACCTGGAGAAATCACATTACCTTGTTTGTTGCTCAACGTTTGAGGACAAACAGCGGCTTTAAGTAAGATAATTTACTTGATAATTTAGGTGTTCTTATAAATATCTTTGTTTATTTCATTCTGCATGTGAATAAAACGTGTTGAGTGTTAAAATGTCGAGTTTACTTAACAACCTCATTTCATAGTTTAAAATAAAAAGTAAAGAGTCTCTCCTGAGTTTTGTGGGATGAGGAGGACACACAGTGGCAAGCAGACAAACTGTATTTAATTTGTTGTATTATGCAAATAACAAGAAGAAGTAGCCTATGAGTAGCCCACAGACTGGATTTTAGTGGATCTGATAATAGCTGAACATTTGACCACAGCTGGCAACTCGGGGAATGTAAATGTAATAATATTTCACTGTTTTAATTGACTTACTTATTTTTTTTTAGTGAAACACGACTAAACAGTCAGTGAAACGTCAATTAAATTAGCCAAAATAAATAAATAAATACATAACTCCTTTTACCGTTTCCGCATTTTCTGCATGCGCATTTACATAATCCGCGTCTGTGTGGAAACGGAAAAGTTTTCGTGATACAAAATGTTAAAGACAATCTAATTGTGGTTATCAGATTTATTTTTTTCATTAGCCGAATCTTTGTTTTCACATAGCCCAATTACGGGGATGTATAGTCGTTTTAAAAAGCGGTAGTTTCTGCATAAAGGGAACAAGGAAATAAACTGAAGGTGTCCAATTTTTCGACCTCATTCCAAAACAAAAGATTATAGACCGTTTAAATAGATGTGCTTAAAGTACTTTATGTTTCCTCACTTCACTGTATGTTATGAGGTAAAAGCACCATCAGTCCCCATTGTATGTTTGTGAAAGACTCCCACGTTTCTGATGTGCACAACTCATACTTACCTTTAACTGCAAACAAGTAGGTGGAAAAAAATAATGTGTACATCATGGTGTACACCAGCTTATATAATGTTTACATAAACGTGACACATTGAAAAAGCTACAATGAACAACAACAACGTTGTCTAAAATCAAGTGTTTCTGTAAATTGTAATAGAATAGACTTTATTTTCATGTGTACAACGAATATACATACACAAATAAATCTTCATATGCAAGTGAGCAATTTGTAACAAAGAAATTTTCCCTCAGGGGTCAGTAAAGTATTTCTGATTCAGATTCTGAAAGTCACCTTCCTTAGAGACTTGATGTTGGGTCTAGAAGTCCCGTCTTAACTGACTGTGAGCTTTATTTACAATTTGCCCTTTTGTAAATACCTGTTTTAAAATCAAAATTATGTATTTTATAAATTGTTGTCTGTGTAAACTGTTAAGCACAAATTCTGCAGTTGCATGAAGAGTGTAGTTTTCACTATTCTCCACCAGAGTGCGCTGGAGATCAGTTTGTAGTTCGTCAGTAAACATAAAACACATTTTCTTCCCTCAGAAGACTTTTTATATTCTTAAAAGTTTCTTTTCACATTTATGCTTCAGATGACATTCATTTTTGTTTAATATACAAGTTACAGCTCTATTTCTGACGGTAAATAACAGAGTTCTCATGTTTTAAACTCCTATTGGACCAGATTGTGTCACATGACCAGGAAGTGTTGTGGAACTGCACATGCACCAACCTTATTTTGTTAAAATTACGTATTTTACTGCTTTTATTAGCTTTTTTTTAATAATTCTTTTACTTGTCTGCTTATCGTGTACTTTATTTTTGGTCTTATTGTGTGGAGTTAAAACTGAAACAGAAACTGAAAACCGTCAGTGAGAGTCCCGGTGCGAGGAATCACCTCCTTATCCCTGACCTTTTCTCAGTATCGCTTCTCGGCCTTTTGGCTAAGATCAAGTGTAGTATCTGTTCTTATCAGTTTAATATCTGATACGTCCCCTACCCGGGGACCATATATTAAATTGATTTTTGGAGCAGGGAGATGGAATAGGGGCTTGCTCCGTCCACTCCACGCATCGACCTGGTATTGCAGTATCTCCAGGACCGGTGCACCCCCCACTCTGTGTTCACAAATAAAATCAGCTTAATAGTTTGCTGTTCAGGTCACATTTGGTGCAATGGTTGTTCAAGGCAGTGCAATTCAGTTGTTTATCCAAGTTAATGTAGTAATATATTACAACATACCCCATGCAATTAAGTTTTGCATTCATAAGTGTATTCAAGTAATATAAGCCAATTGGACTCATTATTTAGAAGGAGAGCTTTTATGTAAAAAATATATATATCTCACCTAATACATTGGGTGTAAGCAGAATTTTAATATTATGGCTGAATAAAGTGACGTTCATTTTAACTATTTATTGATGGATATCAGAATTAGCTTTATTGCCAATTAGGTTTACACATACAAAGAATTTGCTTTAGTGACTTTGTGCATAATAATAAACATAAAGTATATAAATATAAAATTGACAAGATGCAAAGAAGAGGATAGGGGCTTGTTCCATCCACTCCATGTGTCAACTTGGTATTTCAGTTAGGGTTTTCTGATTGGTGGTCTCTAATAAGGCCAATCAGAAGTGCCGATCAGTTGATGCAATACTTATTATTATATGATTGTTGAGTTGAAGGCTATCAAAAGTGAGCTGCAATCCTCAGCTGAAAATGTATACGCGTGTGTGTGTTGTTCTCTGCCTGGTTGGCCATGAGTTTGGGTGGTAACGTCACAGTCATGAGCTAATTGGGTGTCGGGGAGCTGCACCTTAGTATAACATCGGGTGATGTTTGTGTGCAGTTGTCTGGTTGTTGGTCTAATGACACACTATGAATTTCCAAAAGGACTAATAAATATGTAATATATGTATAATATGTATATGCTGTTGGGCTGGACTCATTTGTTGGCGGTAAATAGATACAACTGGTGATTTTAGGTTAGCTTTAGATGTGGAAATACAACATTGCATGCTGGGAAATGTAGCCATTATTTGTCAAGTAAAATGTAAATAATCTCTTTCAGCCTTAATACAGAAATGTTTCTTCTGTATTAAAGTACTGCAGATTCGCACACAACCAATAGCCTCTGGTTTTGGTAATTTACAGAAGGTCAGCACCCTCAGTCTGCATGGTATGTCTGTGAAAGACCCCCTCGTCTCTGATCTGTACAACTCATACTTACCTGGCAGGGGAGATACCATGATCAAGAAGGTGGTTCACCCAGGGTGAGGCTTAGCCATTGCACTCTGGTTGAGCTGACCTCTGCGAATTCCCCAAATGTGGGAATCTCGACTGCATAATTTCTGGTAGTGGGGGACTGCGTTCGCGCTCTCCCCTGATAACATGTGAAATGAAAACTCAAAGCAAATATATGTGTTGTTGGGCTTTTCAAATCAGTGACCTGGATTAAAAGGGCTCCTATCTGACATTTTAAAATAGTCTGCATTGGTCAGTGTATACTTACAGTGGGGAGAACA